GCGCCCATTTGCTGCAGCGGCACAAGCCGCAGCAGCCCCACAAGCAGCAGCAGCAGCAGTTCTGTTCGGCCCAGCGAAAGCAGCATGCAGGCGATAGACAGATGCAGAGGCAGGCAGCTTGCTGTGTTTCGCGTTTCCGTGCTGTCGACGTCTTGCTGCCTGTGAAGCTGCTGCTGCTGCTGCTGTTGCTGCTGCTGCTGCAGGGGAGGAGATGAAGGGGAAGCTGAACGTGGTGTTCCACGGGGAGGAGGGGCTGGACGGGGGCGGCCTCACCCGCGAGTGGTTTGGGCTATTGGCGCGGGATATGTTCAATCCGAATTATGCGCTGTTTACTCGCGAAGGCGCCAAGAGCGAATTCAATCAGCCAAACCCTCTTTCTGCCATTAACCCGGAGCACTTGTACTATTTCAAATTCATAGGCAGAGTCATCGGTGAGGACTCCGGGCAAACGCTGCAGAAACTGTTCAGAAGTTCCGGCTGCTTGCTTCCAGTCGCGTAGTCGAGGGTTTAGGGTTCACGCGAGGGTTTCGGATATAGAGGAGTGCTTGTTTTGAGCGTCTTAGTTGGGGCTTTAGCGTTGACTGGAGGGTGTAGTCTAGAGGAGTGTTTAGTGCGTGCTGTGAGTGTCTTAGTCGACGGTTGAGGGCTGACGGGAGGATTCAGCGTTTAGAGCAGAGGGTCTAGTGTTCTCGGGAGTGCTTAGGGTTTGCAGTAGGGTCTGCGATTTACGGGGAGGCTCAGCATCTACAGAAGGGTTTAGGGTGTAGGGTTAATGGGATGGTTTGGGGCTTAGGGTTTAGGGTTTTGGCGGCTGCTGGGGCTGTCTGTGCGTAGGCAAGGCACTGTTTGACGGGCACTACTTGCCGGCTTACTTTTGCCGGTCATTCTATAAACACATGCTGAACAAGAAGTGCTCTATGCGGGACGCGGAGTCGCTGGACCCCTCGTTGTACTCGAACTTGCAAAAGATTCTGGAGTATCCGCTCGAGGACTTGGCGCTCACCGATCTCACCTTCAGCGTCGAGACAGACGAATTCGGAAAACACAAAGTTAATGATCTGCTGCCGGGCGGCCGCCATGTGCCCGTCACAGACGCCAACAAGGCGCTGTATGTGCAGCTCATGTGCCAGCGAAAGATTGCGGGCGGCATTCAGAAGCAGCTCGAGGCATTCCTTAGCGGCTTCCACGAACTTATTCCCCCTTCGCTTATCTCCATTTTCGATGATAAGGTAACAATAACGAAAGTTCAGCATCCTATGGTGTAGGCTGTGCTTTGGCTGCAGCCACAGTGTTGCTGTCGCTGCTGGTGGGGTTGTGCTGCTGCGGCTGCACTGCTGCTGCTGCTGCTGGTGATGAATTTGTGGCCAAAAGGCCCTTTTTAGTCTGTGTGTTTGTAGCTTTTTACTTATTGCCGTTCTTTTGAATCTGGGTCTCACTCAGTTTGCTGCTTCGTGGTTACTTGTGCATACTGGTGATTCTTCGTTTCGCGATTGTTCAGGAATTAGAGTTGTTGTTGTCGGGCTTGCCGACAATTAACGTAGCAGACTTGCAGGAGAACACCGAATACGTGAACTACCTACCCACCGAGCAGCCTATACTTTGGTTCTGGGAGGTGAGCACTACTGGCACAAGCTGCAGACACAGACCAGGGAAACGGCAAATCCCACACACAAATCACTTGGTCAAGAGAGACGAAACAAAAGCCCGCAAAACACGCGAAAGCAGTCTTGGCGGGATTTTAGTGAAGTTGGAAAGTCAACAAAAATAGGAAGACGGAGAACTAGAACAGAGGCAGCCACATGGAACGATCACGAAGCAGCGCGGAGCTGTCCTCTTGTAGATATAGGGCTTTCAACACAAGCCCTTCCCTTTATTTTTCAACCAGGCATCTAAGTAGAGCTGCTGACCCTAGCTAGCTAGGCAGCTGGCTAGCCAGCTAGCTTGTTTGCTCGCTGCGGTGGTTCATGTTCAGATAATGGAGGAGTTCGACACTCCCCAAAAGGCGGCCTTCCTTCAGTTCGTCACGGGCACTTCCCGCGTGCCCATTGGCGGATTTAGAAATCTTGTGGGGATGAGGGGCCCCCAGAAGTTTTCGATTCAGAAGTGAGCTGAGCTGAAACTGCAAAGAGGGCGCTTGGTGGGGGGTTTGCAAGTTGAATGTTTGTGTTCGGGGGCCCTGCCTTTTGTTTAAGTGGCTTGTATGCCACGTCGCATTTATGTTTTTGTTGCTTTCGTCCTTTTTCACGTTTAATTGAGTTTTTTTGTCGCATGGAATGAACTGTCATTGGTTTTCATGCCGGTTGTCTTACCCATGGCTGTGAGCGGCGCTGGGGTTTGTTGGCTGTGCGGCGTTCGTGTGTTTTGTTTTGCTTTGTTCTGAGTAATTTGAGATATGTTAACTATTTTTTAATTTTAGCGAGTACATAATTCCGTTTTTATTTGTTTTGCTGTTTCAGGGCGTACGGCGAGAACAGGCTACCCTCGGCGCACACATGTTTCAACCAGTTGGACTTGCCCGCGTACACTTCGAAGGCAATTCTAAAGAAAAAACTGTTGCTAGCCATTACAGAAGGCAGAGAGGGCTTTGGATTTGTCTAAATTTTTACGCGGACAGCTGCGGAGCTGGGCAGCTGCCAGTTTTTAGCTTTGCTTTCTCGGTTTTCCTCCGCGTTTTCCCGAAGAACTTGCACTTTGTTTTCCTTTGGCGGCCGTCTCGGCGGGCGGGAGAATTAGATGTCTAGAGACACGAACGAGGATATAAAAGGAACTTAAAAATGTTGTTCTTTTATCCTGCCTTCCTTCCACACACACGCCAGTCCCAGGCACACAGCCAGCAAAGCTGCAAAGCAAAGATATAGACAGAGACATAACGGCATGGGCTATAGAAACGCATGCCGGACACAAACACAAGTTTAAAGCAGCTCTGGGGGTGCAGAGTTTAGTGCAGTGGGAGGCCAAGTAGTTTAGACAGAGGTTCAGTGAGAAGCATGGGGTGTCTTCTGTCTTGAGACGCAGCAGGCACGAGACGCATGCATGCATCCCGCGCGTTGCAGTAAAAGCTGCCACCCGCGGCAAAGCCCGTAGTGAGTCTGCAGGAAATTTAAAGACAGGTGCGCCCAGGCTAGGCTTTGCTGCTGCAGTTCTGCCTGCTTTGTTCTGAAGGCGTGCAGCCCCCTGCGGCCTCTCGGCTGCCGATCTCAGTGCTGCAACGTGTCTAAAGGACTTAATTTATTGTTTGCTGCATGCGCGTGGCTGTTAGTTATTGAATGGGGGTCTGTGCTTCTATTTTTGCGAAGCTGGATGGACAGTCTGGCTGGAGTGAGCGCCCCAGTGCAGCGGCGCCGCTGCTGCGCACGTTTTGCTGGAAAGCTCGAGGCAAATGGCTCTGCTCGCGTCTCAAATGCTTCAATATAAGTGTGCACTGCGTTGCAAAGCGCAAAGAATTCCTTATCGGCCTGCGTCTCTGGATTCTAAGAGCGACGTGCCTGCACGGCCTCACTAACTGCGCACAGATCCGGGCTGCCGGCCTTCCCCGGGGCCCTCCAGGCACTCTAAAGGCCTTATGAACAGACCCAGTTTTCCGGCGAAGACACAAAGTGCTGCGTGGATCCATTTGGCAGCATGCACTGTGTAGCGGCCCCCCGGGGTTCCGGTGGGTGAAGGCACCGCGGGACACACTAAGCACTCAATCTGGGTGGACAGGGGGGCGCCTGGGGGCCCTTGTGGAGGCCCGGGGGCCCTTTATGAGCTTTTTAATAACAAATTCGGGGCAATTAGGAGAAAGGATACTCCCAAGAGCTGCTGTTTCACCCGAGGTGTTGCTGTGCGCACAGGCTGAGGGGTGGTAAGGGCGGCGCTGCGTTGCGGCGCGGGCAGTGTTATTCGGTGTTTGTTTGTTATTTTGGGTTTTTGAATAAAATTAAGAATTTAGTTCTTGAAATAAAACGGAAAAGGGGGAATAACGCAGACCCCTGCTGCTGCGCCGCCGTGCTTGCCTCTGTGCCAGGAACTCACCAGGCCACCGCCGTTTGCTGTGTTGCTGCTGCTGCCCTCGCCGCTACAAGGGCTTAAGTCTTCTGTTTAAATGGTTAAAACAAAAAGGTGTGTTTAGGCGTACTTGTTTGTTGTTTAATTTGAGTTGGGGGTTTCAGTAAGAAGTCATTTCGCCGTTTTTTGCGGCGAAGACCCGCTCAGAATGCGCACGCGCCGGCAGAGGGATGAAAAGGCATGCACGGTGCAGCTGCCGTTTCTCTAGCTTTACGTGCTGCTGAAACTGTTGCAAACTTATTAATAATTAATTTTAATCCGTACAGTGTGCTGCGGTCTCTCCTCCACGGCCAGCCCCCGACCTGCCCCCGATCCTTGCCTGAGGACGGGCAGCAGCAGCTCGGGGAGCAGCGGTTGCTGCTGCTGCTGCTGCTGCTGCTGCTGCTGCTGCGCCTCGAATCAATATCGGTGTCTCTTTTATCTGATTCCATGCTGCATCTCAAGGCATGATCGACTGGCTTTTGGGTCAGGGGCGAGTAGTCCGCCACGGCTTCAGCAGCAGGAGCAGCAGCAGCAACGGGAGCAGCAGCAGGAGCAGCAGGAGCAGCAGGAGGCTGTGGTGCGGTGTACATACACCCCAGGCTTGGGTTTCTTCTCAAACCCATCTGTAGCTTTTTTATCTCACTCATTATTCATCTTCGGTCCCGCAGTTCCGTTGCTGCGGAAGCCAAGGATCTTCTGAGGGCAGCACCTGCTGCTGCTGCTGCTGCTGTTGCCGTTGCTGCTGCTGCTGCAGCAAGAAAGCAGCAGCTGACGCAGCAGCAGCACCAGAAGCTGCATGGACACCCAAATTAACTGAAGAAGGATGCGTAGGAAACTTACAGAGACGGCGCGGGGCCACAGGGACTCGCTGAGGGAAACACACGAAGGCCTCACTGCAGCAGCAGCAGCAGCAGCGGCAGCAGATGCGACAAGGCACGCAGCAGGAGGCCCTAGCGGGCCCCAATGCTCCTGCAGCCATTTCAGCCAAAATTAACACTATGAATGCTCAGCAGCTGACTCAGCAGCACCTGCTGCAGCAGCAGGCGCTGCAGCAGCAACTCTTGTTGCAGCGCCAGCAGCAGCAGCAACAACAACTTATTGTGCAGCAGCACCATCAGCGGCTGCAGCAGCAGCACGCTTTGCACCGCCAACAGCAGCTCATGCTTGCGCAAGCCCAGGGTGTGCATCCTTCGGCGCAGGCTGCCGCGCTGCTGGCACTGCAGCAGCAGCAGCAGCAGCAGCAACAGGCAGTCTCGACGGCAGCAGCATTTGCAGCTGCCAGCCTTGGCGGTGGGAATGGGGCCGCAGCGGCAGCAGCAGCAGCTGCAGCGGCGCGCGCCCGTGCTGCTATGGACACTGCAATGCAGCAGCAGCTGCAGGAGCAGCTGGTTAGGCTGCAGCAACAGCGGGAGCACCAGTTCCTTGAGCAGCAGCAGCAGCAGATGCTGCAGCAGCACCGGCAGCAGCATCAGCAAACAACAGATGCATGGCGCCTGTTCGCTGGCGCTGGAGGGAGAGCCGCAGGTGAGGCTGCGCGCTGCTCACGCTGCTGCTGCTGCTGCTGCTGCTGCTGCTGTAGCTGCTGCTGCTGTAGCTCAGTCCGCTAAGTGCAGCAGCAGGGACTTCTGGTGCGCCTATTGGGTTAAAGAAACAAATGCAGTAGGAGCGAAAGCAGCAGCGCTCGTTGCTGCTGCTGCGTCTCGTTTTCGTTGCTTTTGGGGCTGCTGCGGGAGTGCAGTTTGTTTGCTGCTGTTGCTGCTGTTGACGCAGTGCTGCTGTTGCTGCTGCGGCTGTGTCTGTAAAGTTGTGATTTCGACTGCATCGAGGTGCCTTCCTGCTGCTGCTGTTGCTACTGCTGCTGCTGCTGCTGCTCCTGTGTGCAGCTCTCAGCTTTGCGGCGCATCAGCAGACGGCGGTTGCGCAGCGGCAGCAGCAAGCAGCAGCTGCTGCTGCTGCGATGAGCGATGGTGCAGCAACAAAGCTTACTGGAGCACCAGCAGCAGCAGCAAGCTTGCCTTTAGACGTGACAGCAGTCCCTGCTGCGCCTGCAGAAGTTCAAGAAGCAAATGCAGCAGCAACAACGACAGCAGCAGCAGCAGCAGCAGCAGGCGGCCGCGAGCCAATTGCGCCATGTGGAGCGCCCGTTGCGGCGACACCCGTGGTGCCGACAGCAGCAGCAGCAGCAGCAGTGATGCCTGCAGCAGCACCACCAACAATTATGCCAGCAGCAGCAGCAGCATCAGCAGCAGCAGTTGGGCCCGCAGTAGCGCCTGCAGCAGCTACACCCGCGCCAGCTGCAGCTGTGGCAGCACCCGCAGCGGCGGCGATGCCCGAGGCCGCAGCAGCAGCAGCAGCAGCAGCAGCCACGCCGGCGGCGGCGCCTGCTGTAGCAGCCCAAGGGCCGCGCTGCAGCAGCAGCAGCTCGCGCAGCCGCAGCAACAGAACAGCAGCAGCAAAAGGTGGCGGTGCTGCTTGCGGGCGGCGTGTGGGGCGGCCTGTGCGCAAGGGCCACGGGTCTTCGGGCGTATCTGTAGCAGCAAGGGATGCAGAAGCAGCAGCAGCAGCAGCAGCAGCAGCAGCAGCAGGCATTGACAAGGAAACACCCACGGAGACGATTCCGCAGCCCCGAAGGATCCCAGCGGATGCCTTCAGAGTGCCCACTGTGCCAGACGAAGATTATTTCTCCACAGTCCCGGGCTGCTACTACCACTTTGGTCTGCTGCTGCTGCTGCTGCTGTTGCTGCTGCTGCTGTTGGCGCCTTTGTTAGGCGGCGAGGGCTGCTCGGGGGCTCCAGCGGCGGCGTGGGCGCTTGCTGCTGCTCGGGTGCTGGGCTGGTGGGCCGGTGCAGCGGCTGCTGCTGCTGCTGCATGTGCTGCTGCTGCGCTGCTGCTGCTGCTGCTGCTGCGCAGGCAAGCGGGAGTGGCGTGTGGTGTACAGGGACCCACAGAACGAGTCTAAAAGAAGACAAAAAACTCATTCAATTAAAAAGTATGGCTTCTACGCAGCGAGGTCGAGGGCGGAGGACTTGAGGATTGAGCTCGAGAAAATCAATGGATGGTCAGCCTGCTGCTGCTGCTGCTGCTGCTGCTGCTGGTGATGCCGGGTCGCTGCGGTGTCGGCGCTGCGGGCTCGTTGCTGGGGCTGTTGCAGCTGGAGCTGTTCGGGGGCTGGGGTCCAACACTGGGCGGGGGTGCCGCTGCTGCTGCTGTGCTATGCTGCATTGGCTTTGCTGCTGCTGCTGCTGTTGCTACGTGCAGGCCACTGACTGTGCCCCCGGCGAAGAAGACCGACACCGCAGCGACGCGTTTTATAAATTTCGACAAGACGGAAAAGGAAACTGCTGCTGCTGCGCCAGCAGCAGCAGAAGGAGAGGCAGATGAAGACTTGGCGCTGCCGCCTGCTGCTGTTGGCGCTTCTGGCAGCTCCTCCCGTTCCTCGGCCCGCAGAGCCTCGAAACACAGGCAGCAGCAGCAGCACGACAAGCAGCAGCAGCAGCAGCAGCAGCAGCAGCACGAAGCAGCAGACCCAGCGCATGCGCCTGCAGTCACGCCCACAGCGGCACAGGCAGCACCTGCTGCTGCCGCTGCTGCTGCAGTCGCCAACTCTCCAAGGGGCGCAGCAGGATCCCGAAGGAACACGTGGGATAGCAAGGGATCGAGCCGAGCAAAGCACGAGGCAGCAGCTGCTGCTGCAGCAGGCGAAGCGCCTGCTGCAGCAGAAGCAGATGGGACGCGGGGTCCGGGGTCCGTCAGCACCCGAAGGAAGAGACGCATGCAGCAGCAGCAGCAGCAGCAGCAGCAACAGCAGCAGCAGCAGCAGCAGCAGCAGCAGCAGCAGCACGTCCCTGCAGTCGTTGATTGCCCAGTCAACGACACTTCCGTTGCCGTGGAACCAGATGCTGCTGCTGCTGCTGCAGCTGCAGCGGCTGCTGCTGCTGCAGGCACGCTAAGGGCAGTGCCTGAGGGCAGCCTTCAAGGCATTTCTTTCTTCTCGGGGCCACCTGAGTTGCTGCCAAGTGCAGCAGCAGACACGCTGCAGCAGCACCCGCAGGAGCCAGACGGCTGCTTGGTCGGCGTCGACAGCAGCAGCAGCAGCGCGGAAGCAGCAGCAGCACCCGAGGCAGACAAACAAGGAGATGAAGACAGCTTCTTGCTGGAAGGCCTTGCTGCAGCATCTCTTGCAGCAGATGGCCCTCTGACCCCTCGCTGGGGCCTGCTGCAGAACCCGTGCGAAGCGGAAGAAGTGCAGCAGCTGCAGCAGCAGCAGCAGCAGCAGCGGGACACGCCCTCCAGCACAGTGTACTCCCGCCCGGAGGGCCCCCCCTGCCGCTCAGACAAAGAAGCAGCAACTTGTTCTTTAGGAGACGGCTTTAGCTTTGCTGCTTCTCCTTCGGGTTTCTCGCGGCCGGCGAACCGCAGCAGCAGCTGCAGCAGGGGGGCAGCAGATGAAGTGCGCAGCAGCAGCAGCAGCAGCAGCAAGGGAGATGCAATGCAGTTCCTGATGTCCCCTCCAGCGGGTTTACTGGCTGCGTCGCCGCTGGGGCCTCTGCTGCCGGGCCTGGGGAGCCGCCGCGCAGCGGACGCAGCAGCAGACGGCGTGTCTGCTGCTGCTGCTGCTGCTGCTGCTGCCTGCGGCGGCGCAGTGCAGCGCAGCGGGGAGGGGCTCGAGAGCCTATCTGCGCAGCCCTCCTTTTCTGGCCTGCAAGAGGCCCTTGTCAATTTTGTCTATCTGCCTTCTTGTCCAGCAACTCCGCTGCTGTCTTCAGCGCCAGTGTCTTTGCTGCTGGACCCAGTGGAGCCGCAGCAGCAGGAGGAGGGGCTGGCGAGCAGCAGCAGCAGGGCGGGGGGGGCCGCCGCGGCGCGCGCCGCTGCTGCTGCAGCCGGAGCAGCAGCCTCTCCCGCCGCCGCAGAAGCGAGCTCGATCCTGAAGGCCGCCGCAGCAACGACAGCGACAGCAGCAGCAGAGGCAGCAGCAGCAGCAGAGGCGGAGGAGGGCTTGGAGGAGGACGGGGAGCTGCGGCTGACGAGGAGCAGCAGCAGCAGCGGCTCGCAGCAGCTGCCTGCTGCTGCGCTGGCCGCGCTGCTGTCGCCCTCGGCCGTGGGCCTCGACAGAGAAGACGCAGCAGCAGAAAGAGGCAGGGAGTCGGGGGCCCCCGGGGGAGAGGATCTGCTGCTGCGGACGAGCAGCAGCGGGAGCAGCAGCAGCAGGCAGCCGCCGAGCGAGTCGCAGGCGAGCGCGGCGCATGCGGCAGCAGCAGCAGCGGAGCCGCTGCTGTGCAGCAGCTGCAGCAGCAGCAGCGGCTGCTGCAAGTCGGGGAAGGGCGGCTCTGGAGGGGCCCCCGCGTGCAGCCTGGGGGTATCGGGGGCCGCTCCCGGGGCGGGCTCGGGGGCGGGGCTCACCGGAGGCCCCCCCGGGGGGCCCCCGGGGGGGCCCCCCGGCGCGTGGGGGCCCCCCATTTGGCTGTCCGTGATGAACGGACGCCCTGGAGGCTGCTGGGGGCCCTCGCCCGTGCGGCGAAGTGCAGCAGGGGCCTCCACTCCGTCCCCCCCGCTGCGGCTTGCTTCCTTCAAAGCTGTAGACATTGTTTTGTCTCCTCCTTATTTGCTGAAGTCGAGAAGTGGAGAAGAGGGGCCCCTGCTGGCGCCGCTGACGCCCCCGCAGACCCAAGAGGGGCCCCTGGTGTGCAGCTCGTGGACTCCGTCGCTGGGGCTGCCTTCGCCGCTGCAGCAGATTTCGGACGAAGTGCTGCTGCCGCTGAGCAGCCGCAGCAGCAGCAGCTGGGAGAAGGGCTGCGCCTCCCTCGCTGCTGCTGCTGCTGCTGCGGCCGGCGACCTCGACCCCACACAGCAGCACGACGTGTGCGCAGCGCCAGCTGCAGCAGCGGGACCCGCAGGTGCGCAGGCTGCCGACGCTGCCGCCGCTGCTGCTGCTGCTGCTGCTGCAGCAGAAACCGACGGGGCCAACACCATCCTCAGCAGAATCCGGCGCCACTTGCTGCCGCTCGAGGCAGAGCCGTGACCCCGCGGCTCCCGCCGACACAGGTGCAGCAGGAGCTGCTGCAGCAGCTGGCGCTGCTGCAGCAGCCCAACTGCTGCAGCAGCTGCAGCAGCTCCGTTGCTGCAGGTATGTGTTAGTGCCTGGGGGAACGCCACGCAGCAGCAGACCCCACTCAATGTACGGAAGCAGCTGAGCGCTCCGCAGCTGCAGCAGCAGCACGGGGCGCTGCTGCTTCTTAGTAGGCGGAGCCCCTGCGGCTTTTTCAAATGGCGGGCCGGAGGGCCAGCTAGCTAGCTAGCAGCTAGCTAGCTAGCCAGCTAGCCACCTAGCTACTCGCTGTCGCGGGCCCCCTAGGACTCGGGCAACAACTTGATACACTTGCGCATTCTGGACTTTTGGGGCTGTCAGGTCTTCGTGGGGCCTCTCGCAGCGCATGCACCGCCAGTGCGGTACTTCCGCGGGCTTGGTTTCCCGCTTATCTACGCATGCATGCATGCATGCGTGCGTGCATGCATGCATGCATGCATGCGTGCGTGCGTGCGTGCATGCATAATGCATGCATGCACGGGGATGTGCGCCAATACACCGCGTGCGCATGCGTGCCGTCGAGCATGCATCATTAGCTACGCATGCGCATGCGTTTCTGCATGCAGTGTTCTATCCACAAAAGTGCTTGCTTGCTGCGGCTCTAGATGCTTGTGTGCGTAGAGTGGGCATATATGGGTTTAGGTAGATGCATGCGTGCACGCCGGGCTGCATGCGGGTGGATGCATGCATGCATGCGCGCGTGCAGGCCTGCATGCGCGCTGCAGGCTCGTGCCTGCGCATGCACGCATGCATGCATGCGTGCATGCGCGCATGCGTGCATGCGCACAATGGACGCGACTGTGGGTGGGCGCGCCTGCATCAATAGAAACATCGTCCGAGCGCGCCCGTGTCTGCATGCATGCGCTCGCATGCGCATGCATGCGTGCATGCATGGACACCATGCATGCATGCGCATGCATGCAATGCGCCGTGCATGCGTTTGCGCATGCACAGGTCGTGGGCCCCATCCGTGTGTCTTGTCGAGGGCGACGGCGCTGCTGCTGTTTGACTGCAGCGTGGCACTGGGACTTAGTGTAGCTATATGGCGCCTACTTTGTGTAGCTATTTAGCTAGCTAGCTTGCCAGCTAGCCGGCCAGCTAGCCAGCTAGCCAGCTAGCCAGGCAGCTCGTCAGGCACGCAGCAAGAGCTGCGGGGCTGCGTGAGAGGGACTGTTCTCGTGCAGCTGGACAGGAGACAGAAGTCTAGAACATGTGTCTCTGCTTCTGCGGAGAGCTGGGGGCCCCCAAGGGGGGCCCCTCGACATTAGCACTTTTGGTGATTGTTTGCATCATTTATTAGCGCATTTTGAAGGGACGGGACTTCCTAAGACTCTCTGTCGCTCCACATTTCTTTATCTGTGCATCTTTTTATTTTTACTCGTCTTTCCTTTTTCCTCTTCTCGAAGTTTAGCTCTCTCGCCACTCTCTTGCAACTGCCGCAGTTTTAGAGCTAGCTAGCTGCAGCTAGCAAGCTGCAGGTGGCCAGCTGCGGTCAGCTTGCTGCAGCTGACTCTAGCTTTTGTGTGGTCCCCTCGGCAGCAGCAAGGTGGCTGTGGCGCCGCTGCCCCTGCCTGCTGCTTAGCAGCAAAGCAGAAGGCCCCATTGGAAGCAACTGCTGCTGCAGCTGCTGCAGCAGCAGTTGCGCTCGCTGCTGCTGCTGCTGCTGCTCTAAGGTGAGAGCTTGAAACCTTTAGTCTAGGAGTTGGAATTTGAGACGGGAAGCCTAACGCAGTCTCTCCCGTGTGGGCCCCCCCAGCAATTCAGCAAAGAGAAGAAAAGCTTTGCGTGTTTTGTAGCTGCACAAATGCAGCTGTGAGGTGTATGTACACTGGGGTGGCGCGGAGCAGTGGGGGACGGCGCAGCGCATAGGCGCGGGGTTGTTAAGGTGCAAATGCAGGTAATTAAATATTATATTTTGTGAAATATTTATTTAATTAAATCAAAAAAGAAGAAATAAAGAATAAGTCTGAATGCTTCCGCAGCTTTGCTGCCTCCGGGCTGGGCAGACCGCTCTGGCTCAGGCCGTGACAGCAGTGGGGGCCGCCGCACGGGCAGCGCCCCCGTTTTCTGGAAAAACCCCGTTATATTTCTGAAATATGAATTTCTTGAGAATTATAATTCATTTATTTCTAAAATAAAGGGTTTATTGGGGCTGAGAAAGCCCTGGGAGGCCAGGCGCCGCAGGGGCATCTGGTCCGGAGGTCACCCCAATGGCTATCGCAGGGGAGGGGAGGAACAGCTCACTCGCTCCTCTGTTGTTTTCTGATTATTTTCAAATTGAGTTAAATGCAAACTTTTAAAAAGTTAGGAGACGCAGAAAGGCTCATTTCAGAGAAGTTTGCGGCTTGCGGCTGCGCCGCACGAGCTGTCCGTACACCTCGGAGTGACTGCCCGCGGCGCGCCTAACACAGGACTTCTGCTTTTTCTTTTAACTTTTTCTTTTCTTTGAGAATTTATTCATCAAGTTTTTGATATTTCCACTGCTTTCCGTCGGATGCATTCTCCGCAACATGCTGCGGCTCGCCCTCTAGCCTTGCTGCTGCTACCTGCCCGGACACTGCGCGGCCGCCCGTGGCCTCCCGCGGCAACCCTTCCCAACTTCGACTTTTCTTTACTTTAATTCAAAACATAATTTTTAAATAAAGGCCAGCTGGGCAGTGGGGCCCTTCTCCGGCCTCAGTGGCTGCGCAGAGGGCGACTCCGGGCTTGCTGCTGCTGCTTACGCCGCCCGCCGCCACTGCTGCCGCCGCTGTTGCTGCGGCCGCCGCCCCTGCTGCTGCTGCTGCTGCAGAGCAGCAAAGGCCTGCCGCACCAGCAGCCGCCCAGGGGCAGACCCATGGGGGCCCCCCCACCCCCAGCAGCAGCCCAACGCCCCCCCCCCCTAGCACGTGACCTTTGCGGGGCTTTTGCCAATGCGGTCTTTCTTGTCTCTTTTTTCTTTCCTGCCTCTGCCTATTGGCAACAGCAAACGCAGGAGACTCATAGCTGCTGCTGCTGCTGCTGCTGCTGCAGCAAGCTGCTGCGTCCTCGCTGCTGCTCCCGCCCACCTCCAGGGGGCCCCAGCGGACCAGGGGGGCCCTCCCGCTGCTGCTGCACTTGCTGCAGCAGCTCACGAAACCAGGGCCCCCTCTCTGGGGGCCGAAGAGGCCCTTGTGCTTGGAGACGCCTCTTCGGATGGGGGCCCCCCTAATAGCCGGGACCCCCCGGATTTGGGGGCCCCCCATGATTGGGGGGCTCCCAACGGTTGGGGGGCCCCCAGTGATTGGGAAGGCCACAACTGGGGGGCCCCCAACGAGTTGGAGGCCCCTAATGATTTTGGGGGATCTTCGGGGGCCCCCAGGGACCTGGAAGACCCCACCGGGTGGGAGCCTCATGAAATTCCGACTCCGTCTTCAGCTGCTGCTGCTGCTGCTGCTGCCGTGTCAGCAGCAACCGAATCAGCGGGAGCGCCCTCGGAAGCAGGCGCAGCAGCGACGGAAGCAGCGGCCGCAGAAGAAGCGACAGCAGCACAGAGGACAGCAGCAGCAGAACAGACAGCAGCAGTAGAAGCAGCAGGGGACGGCGGGTCGACTGATGCAGAAGCAGCAGGAGCAGCAGCAGCAGCAGTGGGAGCAGCAGAAGCCGAGGAGCCGTGTCCGTTCCTGAGCGCGTTTTTCGCGGCGCAGTCGCCGCCGACAGCAGCAGCGGCGGCGGCAGCAGCAGCAGCAGCAGCAGCAGCAGCAGCAGCAGCAGCAGGGGTCCCGCTGCTGGACGCAGAAGTGCCGCCTTCCTCCTGCTGGGTGTCGGCAGAGAAGGAACGCATGCGGCTGGCAGCAGCGCAGCAAACTACGAAGCTGGTGTTGGCTTATTCTTTAGAAGGGTGTCAGGTGGCAGCAGCAGCAGCAGACGGCGCTGCTGCAGCAGCAGAAGAAGTGGAGGTGCTGCACGGCCAAGAAGCCAGGTCAACAGCAGTTGCTGCACTAAAGTTCAAAGTGTCGCAGCTGCTGCGGCAGAAGCAGCTGAAGCACACGGAGGCGCTGCTGAGCACGGACTTGATGCGGGCCGCAGCAGCAGTAGACCCTGCTGCTGCTGCTGCTGCTGCTGCTGTCAGCCCCGACGTCTCCGGCATGGAAACTCGATATCTCTCAGCTTTGGAAATGGAAATAATTACAAAACTTCCCGAAGGAGTTTCTCCAAACGAAGTCCTCAGCGTCACTCCGGAGATTCCCTGCGTGCAGCGGGGCTTCCGGGACAGCAGCAAGTTCATAGAAGAGCCGGACCCCCCCCCGCGGCAGCAGCAGCAGCAGCAGCAGCAGCAGCAGCAGCAGCAGCAGCAGCAGGAGGCGCAGGGGGAGTCGTTTGGTGCTGCGCGTCGGCTGCAGCAAGGCCCCGGCCTGCTGGAGCTGAGCCGTCTGGTGATAGCCTCTGCAGCAGCGTCGGCGGCGCCGCCGCGCTCCGCAGCAGCAGCAGCAGCAGCAGCAGCAGCAGCAGCAGCAGGAGAGGCAGTGCCCCCGAACGACCCCTTCTTCGCGGACCAGTGGAACCTGCAGGAAGCCGCGCCCTTCGGCATCAACGCGGAAAAAGTCTGGAGACTCTGGACCGGCAGCAGCAGACCAATGGTCATCGCAGTGATCGACAGCGGCTGCGACTTGAACCACCCGGAGCTGCAGCGCAGCAAGTGGACCAACCCCGCGGAAGTGTGTGGCGACGGAGTGGACAACGATAACAACGGCTTTGTCGACGACTGCCACGGATGGGTAAACCCTAAACCCTAAACCCTAGACCCTAAGCCCTAAACCCTAAACCCTAGGCCTAGGAGTTGAGAGGCAGTAGCGCGAGCATATGAACTAATCCCGCGGAAGTGTGTGGCGACGGAGTGGACAACGATAACAACGGGTTTGTGGACGACTGCCACGGATGGGTAAACCCTAGACCCTAAACCCTAAACCCTAAACCCTAAACCCTAAACCCTAAACCCTAGGCCGTAGGAGGTGGGTAGTTGAGAGACAGTAGCCCGAGCAAGTGGACTAATCCCGCGGAAGTGTGTGGAGACGGAATTCACATTGATAATAATGGCTTTGTGGATGACTGCCACGGATGGGTAAACCCTGAACCCTAAACCCTAAACCCTAAAGTCTAGAAAGTAGAGGCCAAACCCTAGACACTGCATGGCAAACCATGAGTTGACGACTTGGGAGATAGAATTTAAAATGGTAATAATAGTTTCGGCGATGACTCACGCCTCGTGGTGACACAAACCCCAAACCCTAAACCCCAAACCCTAAACCCGAGACTCTGAAACCCGCAAAACCCGCGAAAACCCCCGAGAGTCCCCAAAACCCTCCGAGGCTCCCCAAAGCCCCCCGGAGCCCCATAAACCCTCCCAACCCCTCCCAACCCCTCCCCCAACCCCCAAACCCTCGCCCAACCCCCAAACCCTCGCCCAACCCCCAAACCCTCGCCCAACCCCCAAACCCTCGCACAACCCCGAAACCCTCGCACAACCCCCAAACCCTCGCACAACCCCCAAACCCTCGCACAACCCCCAAACCCTCGCACAACCCCGAAACCCTCGCACAACCCCGAAACCCTCGCACAACCCCGAAACCCTCGCACAACCCCCAAACCCTCGCCCAACCCCCAAACCCTCGCACAACCCCCCCCACGCCCGCGGCGCTGCAGGACTTCGTGGGGAACAGCGGCGAACTGCGCCCGGACGCGTCGGGGCACGGCACCGGCGCGGCCGGCGTGGTGGGCTCCGCCGCAAACAACGCCGTGGGCCTCGCGGGCGTCTGCTGGGGCTGCCGCATAATGTGTTTGAAGTTCATCGGCAACGGCCAGGGCACCGTGGCCAACCAGGTGCAGGCCATCGACTACGCAGTCAAAATGGGCGCCTGGATCAGCAACAACTCCTACGGCGGCTACGGGTACTGCTGCAGCGCCGGGGTTTAGGGTTTAGGGTTTAGGGTTTGGGGTTTGGGGTTTGGGGGGGTGGGGGTAGGGGGTGGGGGTAGGGGGTGGGGGTAGGGGGTGAGGTTGGGGTTGGGGTTGGGGTTTAGAGGTTAGAGGTTAGGGGTTAGGGGTTAGGGGTTAGGGGTTAGGGGTTAGGGTTTGGGGTTTGGGAGAAGCAGCGCTGGTGGCGGGCATAAGGCTTTTTGCGTTGTAATGCTTGTTGGGGCGGCCGCAGCAAGAAAAAAGCAGCTCGCTGCTGTAGTTGCTGCTGCTGCTTCCAGCTGCTCCTGCTGTTGCAAGTGCTGCTGCACCTGTTGCTGCAGCTGCTGCAGATACTAGGCTTCTTGCTGCTTCTGCTCTGGGGAAAGTGCCGTTAGTCCTGGCTTTACCTTGGCTAGGTTGCACCGTGCTGCTGCTGCTGTTGCTGCTGCTGCTGCTGCAGAAAGGCGGACTTGGAGTTCGAAGCGATACAAAGAGCCCAACGCGCGGGCCACCTCTTTATCTCCTCCGCAGGAAATCATAACCTCAACACGGACATGCCAGCGTGAGTCTGCTGCCACTACTGCTGCTGCTGCTGCTGTTGCTGCTGCAGGCAGCATCTGTTGTATTTTGCTGCTTGACCTGCCGATTTGCGTACGGGGTGTCCCCACGTCCCGACCCTTTCAAGCCGCAGCTTCTCCTTTCAAATGCGCCCCTCGCGCTCCCTTGCTGCTGCTGCTGCTGCTGCTGCTGCAGCAACGACCACACGCCCTCGACCTACCCGCTTTCCAACATATTGAGTGTAGGAGCTTTAACTCCTGAGGGCCGCCGCGCTGCCTTTTCGAATTACGGTGTACGTACAGTGCACATCTTCGCCCCAGGCACAGGTAATCCCAGCCAGCAGCAGCAGCAGCAGCAGCAACAGCAGCAGCAAAAGCAGCAGCAGCAGCGGCGGTGTTTCCGCTGTTTCGCAGTGGTTCTGCTTTGTTTGTTCTCACTCGAAATGAGTCTTGGCTTTGAATTAACTTTTAACTTTTAAATTTAAAATATTAAATATTTAATATTTAAAATTCTAAATTTAAAATATTATATATTTATTATTTATCATTTTGGTCTTCAATATTTTGTCCCCATATTAATTTGCTTTTTGCCCTTCCCCCTTCTGTTGCTGCTGCTTCATTTGCTGCGGCTGCGTCTCTTTGTTTTCTTGTCTTTGTTGCTGCTTGGTCTGTTGCTGCTGCTTGTTTCTGAATTACTCTTCACTGCTTTCTTATTTGCTGCTGCTGCTGCGAGCCTGGACCTCTCCATTGCTGCTTCGTTTGCTGCTGTTGCTGCTTCTGCTGCTGCTGCTTCACTCTCCAACACTTTCCCTGACTTTCTCTCTCCTCGTTGTTGCTGCTGCTGCTGCTGCTTCATCCCAAAATGCTTCTTCATTGCTGCCTCACGTGTTGCTGCTGCTGCTGCTGCTGCTGCTGCTGCTCGTCCACCACCTAACACCCCCCTTCATTACCCTAACTACCACTGCCGCTGCTGCTGCCGCTGCCGCTGCCGCTGCTGCCGCTGCGCTGCCGCTGCTGCCGCTGCGCTGCCGCTGCTGCCGCCGCCGCCGCCGCCTCTGCTGCTGCTGCTGCTGCTGCTGCCAGGGATCCCGACGACGGACGGGGCTTCAGGGTTCTCGACGGTGAACGGGACTTCGTTTGCATGCCCCCACGTGGCGGGAGCAGCAGGATTGATTTGGTCAGCTTTTCCGAATTTGACTTATTTGGAAGTCAAAAGGGCTTTGATGGAAAGCTGCAGACAAACCAAAGCCCTCAAGGGCCTTGCTGCCTGCGGCGGCAGCCTCGACGTCTACGGCGCGCTCGTCCTCGCCGGTCCGCTGCTGCTGCTGCTGCTGCTGCTGCTGCTGTTGCTGCTAGTGCTGCTGCTGCTCCTAGTGCTGCTGCTGCTAGTGCTGCTGCTGCTAGCGCTGCTGCTGTGCTTACTGCAACTGCTGCTGCTGTTGTTGCTGCAATTGCTGCTACCGGTAATGCTGCAGGTTCTGCTGCTGGTAATGCTTCTCCTGCCGCTGCTCCTGCTGCTGATGTTCGCGTTCTTGTTGATGCTGGTGCGGCTGCTGCTGTTGCTTCTGCTGCTGTTGGTGCCAGTGCATCTGCAGTTTGCTGCGGCAGGTGCTGCTGCTGCTTCCCGCGTGTGCTGCTGCTCTTGCTGTATCACCTTGCTCTACTGCTTCCCTAATGTTACAAGCGATGCACTCGCCGCTGCTGCTGCCGCTGCTGCTGTTGCTGCTGCTGCAGCTGCTGCAGCTGCTGCTGGGAATATACATGCTGGTCTTTGCATTGTGCTGCTGCTGCTGCAGCACACATCTCCAGCGGCATCCCGCTAGACAAATCTGCCCTTAGTCGTGCGACAGCGCAGCTGCCGCCACCGCCTGAAGCAGCAGTAGCAGCAGCAGAAACAAAAGGGGCCACTGAAGCGCCAACGCAGCAGCAGCAGCAGCAGCCGCAGCAGCAGCAGCAGCTGCAGCAGAAGCAGCAGAAATTTGAACCCAGAAACCCCTCACCAGCAGCAGCAGCACTTACTGGGATTCAAAACCTTCCTAGAGACCCCCTGACTCTGCTGTCCTCAGTGATGTTTGCTCCCCTGCCGCTCGTCGACGATAACAGCAGCAGCAGCAACAGCAGCAGCAACAGCAACAGCAACAGCAACAGCAACAGCAGCAACAGCAACAGCAGCAGCGGCAAAAGCAGGCCAGGCCGCTCCTCCTTGTTGTCTCTTCTGCCTCTAGGCCCCAGAGAAGAAGCTGCTCTTGACGAAGATAGTTTGCAGCAGCAGCAGCAGCAACTGCAGCCAACAACATCCAATGCTGCTGCTGAACCAGCCAAGCACACTGAAGCCTTCAACTTGACGATGTTCTCTCTGCAGCAGCAGCTGCTGCATCCGCAGCAGCAATTGCTGCAGCCCCAGCAAGCGTCGCAGCAACAACAGGAGCAGCAGCAGCTGCAGCATCCGCAAAACCAGCTGCACCAGATGCCCAAGCAGCAGCAGTTGCTGCAGCAGCAGCCGCTCAAGCAAACGCAGCTGCAGCAGCCGCAACTCCACCAAACACAACTGCAGCAGCAGTCACTTGAACAGCAGCAGCTGCAGCAGCCGCAGCTGCAGCAGCAGCAACTGCAGCAGCAGCTCCACCAGCAGTATTTGCAGCAACTGCAGCTGCAGCAGCTGCCACAGCTGCAGCAGCAACAGCAGCAACTGCAGCAACAACAACTGCAGCAGCAACAACTGCAGCAGCAACAACTGCAGCAGCAACAACTGCAGCAGCAAATCCCGCAGCAGCAACTGCAACAGCAGCAGCTGTCACAGCAGCAGCAACTGCAGCAGCAACAGATGCAGCAGCCGCAGCTGCAGCAGTTGCTCTTCCGACAACCGCAGCCACTGCAGCAGCTGCTGCAGCAGCAGCAACTAATGGCGCGGGAGCCACAGCTGCTACAGATAGAGGCGCTATCCAACGAGAAGCTGAACGAGGGGCTGCAGCAGCAGCAGCAACAGCCAATGCTTCCGCAGCAACAACCACTGCTTCAGCAGCAGCAGCCGCTGCTGCAGCAGCAGCTGCTCCCGCAGCAGCAATTGGTCTCGCAGCAGCAGCTACTTCCGAGCCAAAAGCTTTTGTTACAGCAACAGAAGTTGTTGCAACAGCAGCAGCTGCTTCAGCAACAGTTGCTACAGCAGCAGCAGCAAATTGCAGCTGGAGTATCCATTGAGTCGGCTTCTCAGGAGCAGCAGCAGCTCCTGCAGCAGCACCAATTAGTGAAGCAGCAGTTGCAGCAGCAGCAGCAGCAACTCGCAGCTTTACTATCGATTGATTCAGCTTCTCAGGAACAGCAGCCTATGTTGGAGTCCGACGTGCTGCAGGAGAATCTGCTGCAGCAGCAGCGGCTGCTGCAGCTGCAGCAGCAAGAGCAGCAGAAAAAACTCCTACAGATGCAACAGCAGCAGCTGCAGCTGCAGCAGCAGCTGCAGCAGCAGCAATTATTGCAGCAGCAGCAGCAGAAAGCAAGCCATATGAAAGCCCTGCGACATGGCTCTCAAGCGCAGCAGCAGCCCCCGCAGAAGCAGCAGCAGCAGCAGCAGAAGTCGCAGCAGCAGCAGCAACTCAGTCTCCAGCAGCAGCTGCTGCAGCTCTGGAAGCAGCCGCAAGAACTTCTCTTCTCAGGTTCTTTGCCTTCCTCAGTCTTGCGTTTGCTGCCTTTTGCGGAGACCCCAGCCCAGGAGGGGCTAAGGAAGGGCAGCAGCAGCAGCAGCAGCAGCAGCAAAACATTACTGCAGCTTGTTTAGTGCTGCATGCACTGTTTGGGGCTTTTGTCTACAGTGGAAACGAAAGAAAGGATTGAAAAGAACAAAAATATTACCCTTATTATTATTATTATTTATTATTATTATTATTATTTATTATTAATTATTATTCATTATTATTATTTATTTTTATCTTTTACTTATATCCTTATTTTATTATTAACACCATTATTGTTATTATTATTACTATTATTAGTACGATTTTTAATTATTATTAGCTCTAGTATTAGGTCCGCTACTGCTACTGCTGCTGCTGCTGCTGCTGCTACTGCTGCTGCTGCTGCTAAACTCAGAGGGCACAGAGTTTGAGCGGGCTGGGCAAAGGCGAGTTGACGCAGCCAGAGAGAAAAATAAAAAGAATAATTAAAGAATAATTAAAAGAATAATTAAAAGAATGATTAAAATAATAATAAAAATAATAATTAAAATTATAATTAAAATTATATTTTAAAAATAATTGAAAGAATGATTCAAAAGTAATTAAAAAGCTTTTAAATGAATTAAATGCGTTTTATGTGGACTTAACAGAAAAGAGGCAAAAGTGGCAGACATAATAATAATAATAATAATAATAATAATAATAATAATAATAATAATAATAATAATAATAATAATAATAATAATAATATATAATAATAATAATGATAATAATAAATAATAATAATAGTAATGATAATGATAAAAGTGACAACAAATAATAGTAATTTATAAATATATTAACAATAGTAATAATAAATAATACAACTAATAACATTACTATTAATGTAAATAATAGTAATCAGCAGCAGCAGTAACAATAGTGGAAGGCAGCAGCAACAGCACCAGCAGCAGCAGCAGGCGAAAGTAATCAAGTCGAAAGAGAGAAGCAGCAGAGGGACCAGCTGCAGCTTCTCTGCAGCAAAAGCAAGACTACATCTTAGCAGCAACTGCAGCTGCTGCTGCCAGAGCTGCAGCAGCAGCAGCTGCTTCTGCTGCAACTGCGCTGCAACTGCAGCAGCTACAGCAGTAACAGCGGCAGCAGAAACAGCGGCAGCTTGGTGCATGCCTGTTCGCTGTGTAAGGCTGCAGTCCAAAGCCAGCCAAAGCAGCAGCAGCTGCTGCTGTTGCTGCCGCAGCAGGAAGCATTGCTGTTGCAGCAGCAGCAGCAGCAGCAACAGAGTACAGAAGCAGAAGCTAAAGATACTTTTGCAGCATCAGTCAAGGACAAACGAAGCGGCTACAAAGTCGCGGTGACAGCAAGAGTAGCAGCAGCAGCAGCCGCAGCAATTCCTGCAGCAGGAGCAGCTTCTGCAGATAGGACTTCTGCAGTTGCAGCAGCAAAAGTATCGGCAGCAGCAGCAGCAAGTGCTGCGGCAGCTTCAAGACTAATACCCAGTGAATCAGCAGCAATAGGCGGAGCAGCAATAATGCTCTTGGCAGCAGCAGCAGCAGTAACAACAGCAGCAGCTGCGAAACTCACACAGCAGCAGCAGCTGCGAAACTCACACAGCAGCAGCAACAGCAGCGGCTGCAAGTCCCGCAGCGCTGCAACAGCAGCAGCTGCAAATACCGTAGCGCAGCAAGAACAAAAACAGCACGATAGCAGTAGCCGCGGATAACAGCAGCAGCTGCGGCAGCAGCAGCTGCTGCAGCAGGGTCTGCAGCAGCCGCAGCGGCAGCAGCACTGGAAACAATATGAGCAGCTTCAGGAACCGCAGCACAGCCCTAACAAGCAGCGTGAGCAGCAGCAGCAGCAGCAGCAACAGCAGCAGCAGCAGCATTGTGCACTTGAGTGAGCTTGTTCGTCCGTTTCTGGAGTTAAATACATCAATTGAGCGCTCTTATTCTTTTATTTCTTGAAAATTTTGTCCAATTTGACGCAAATATTTCAAACGCAGACAAAGAAGAAGAAAAGACACCCGCAGCCATCGGAAGGCTCACTCAGTCAACGGGCCCCGAGCCGCCTCCGCATGCAAACAGCAGCAAGAACTGATTTATATTGTTATTTTGCTCATTTCTTTGTTCTTAATTCGCCGCAAGACTCGCTACACAGGCTCTTCGCTAGCCCTAGGACGCAGCAGCAGCAGCAGCAGCAGCTCTAGCAGCAGCAGCAGCAGCAGTCGGCTCACGCCTGCAAGCCACAGCAGCCGGGAAGCAGAAACGAAAAGAAAACACAATCAACTGTAGCAGAAGATTGTACACCAGCAGCTGCTGCTGCCCCTCACACAGCTGCTGTTGCTGCTGCTGCTGCTGCAGCCGACTCAGCAGCCATTAGAGTATAGGCTTCCAGAAGACCACGAGTTCTCCGCACAGAAGTTGCTGCGCTTCGCACCAGCAGCAGCAGCAGCAGCAGCGACAGCACTAGAGCAGTTGCAGCGGCGATCCTCCTTAAGGAAGAAGCAGCAGCAACCCGCCAAGCAGCAGCAGCAGCAGAACTGCCGACAGCAGCAACAAGAGCAGCAGCAAACTCCGCCTCTTCCCATGCATGTGCAGCAACGAACTCTGCTGCTGCTACCGCGGCCGCTAAGGTTCCCGGGGCTGCTGCCGACACAGCCCAATGGAGCAGCAGCAGCAGCAGCAGCAGCAGGCGCCGTCCACCGCATGGCCACTACAGGCAGAGCACAGCAGCAGCAGCAGCAGCAGCAGCAGCAATGGCATTCTCGCCTCTTCGACAGCGAGCTCGACAAAGGCGCACACCTCCCCTGCAGCAACAGCAGCAGCTGCAACAGCAGCAACAGCAACGACAGCAGCAGCAGCAGCAACAGCAGCAGCAGCAAGAAGACTGAACCTTGCTGCAGCATGCCTAGACAGCGACAGCAGCAGCAGCAGCTCTGACGACGGAGGCTATGGGCTGTCCCTACGCAGCCGTGGCCCACTAGCTCCTGGAGCTGCAGGCAAACCTGCTGCTGCTGCTGCTGCTGCCGCTGCTGCTGCTGCTGCTGCTCGGTTGGCAGCTCTGGAAGACTCTGAAGGCAGTGGAGATGAAGAGTGGCTGCAGTACGAGTAGCCGCTGCCATCGCATATGCTGCTGCTGTTACTGCTGCTGCTGCTGCTGTTACTGCTTGTGCTGCTGGGTGTTTCAGTGCTGCTGCTGCTGCTGCTGCTATGGAGCGGCTCGCTGCTGCTCCTGCTGCTGCTCCTGTGTGCTTCACTGCAGGGGTTTACTGAACTCAGCAGCAAAAGCCCAGGGACAGCGCCAACGAGTCTCAGGTAGCAGCAGCAGCAGCAGCAGCAGCAGCAAGAGCAGCACGCCTCGAAGCCCCCGCGTCTTGACCAGCGCCCACGGCGATGCGAGAGCTCAGGAAGCCAGCAGCAGCAGCAGCAGCCGCAGCATCAGCAGCAGCAGCAGCAGCAGCAGGCGCGCGCAGCAGCAGCCCACAGCCTCACCAGCAGCAAACGCCAGTTGCGAGCCAGATTGCTGCAGCAATTTGCTGCCAGGCGAAAATTTGAAGTTTTTTGCTGCTCTTTGCTTCCGCCGGCGGGCCATTTGGGGCAAAGCAGCAGCAGCAAGGCGCGGGAATGCTGCTGTTGCTGCTGCTGTGTGGGAGGCTGCAGCAGCAGCAAAGCCTGCAGCAGCGCCAGCAGCAGCAGCAGCACTCGAAGAAGCGCTGCAGCCTCTGCAGGCAGCAGCAGCTGAGCTCGCGCTGCCGCTCGCAGGCCCCAAGGCGGCGCAGCAGCAGGTTATCCCTGCTGCAGCAGGGCAGCCAGCAGCAGCAGCAGCAGCTGCTGCTGCTGCTGCTGGCTGTCCCGCGCCAGTCAGTGCAGGGCAGCAGCCAGCATGGGGGCTGCTATCTCCCTGCAGCTCGGGGTACGTACCGCTGTGCAGCAGCAGCACTTGCTGCTGCTGCTGCTGCAGCTGCTGCTGCTGCTGCTGACGCTGACGGCCCTGTTGGAAGACTCTGAAGGCAGTGGAGATGAAGAGTGGCTGCAGTACGAGTAGCCGCTGCCATCGCATATGCTGCTGCTGTTACTGCTGCTGCTGCTGCTGTTACTGCTTGTGCTGCTGGGTGTTTCAGTGCTGCTGCTGCTGCTGCTGCTATGGAGCGGCTCGCTGCTGCTCCTGCTGCTGCTCCTGTGTGCTTCACTGCAGGGGTTTACTGAACTCAGCAGCAAAAGCCCAGGGACAGCGCCAACGAGTCTCAGGTAGCAGCAGCAGCAGCAGCAGCCGCAGCATCAGCAGCAGCAGCAGCAGCAGCAGGCGCGCGCAGCAGCAGCCCACAGCCTCACCAGCAGCAAACGCCAGTTGCGAGCCAGATTGCTGCAGCAATTTGCTGCCAGGCGAAAATTTGAAGTTTTTTGCTGCTCTTTGCTTCCGCCGGCGGGCCATTTGGGGCAAAGCAGCAGCAGCAAGGCGCGGGAATGCTGCTGTTGCTGCTGCTGTGTGGGAGGCTGCAGCAGCAGCAAAGCCTGCAGCAGCGCCAGCAGCAGCAGCAGCACTCGAAGAAGCGCTGCAGCCTCTGCAGGCAGCAGCAGCTGAGCTCGCGCTGCCGCTCGCAGGCCCCAAGGCGGCGCAGCAGCAGGTTATCCCTGCTGCAGCAGGGCAGCCAGCAGCAGCAGCAGCAGCTGCTGCTGCTGCTGCTGGCTGTCCCGCGCCAGTCAGTGCAGGGCAGCAGCCAGCATGGGGGCTGCTATCTCCCTGCAGCTCGGGGTACGTACCGCTGTGCAGCAGCAGCACTTGCTGCTGCTGCTGCTGCAGCTGCTGCTGCTGCTGCTGACGCTGACGGCCCTGTTAGCCTCTGTATTTGCTGCGCCTAGCGGCTCTGATTGTCTCAGTTCGAACCTGCTGCGCTGCTGGGCTGTATGCCTCGCCGTGCATGCTGCTGCCGCTGCTGCTGCTGCTGCTGCTGTTGCAGGTTTGCTGCGCTGCAGCAAGTGACGCAATCTGCGGGGATTGTGACAGCAGTTTGCCGCAGCAACGATTTGGTGGCTGTGGGGACTTCAAGGGGTGTTTGTGTTTTGTCTCGTTTGGAGTCTCGCCGCTTTAGCGGAGAAGCAGCAGCAGCAGCAGCAGCAGCAGCAACAGCAGCACCCGGGGAGGGCAGCCCCGCGCTCGCAGCTGCTGCAGCGGACCTCAGCCGCAACTTTGCTGCTTCAAGGTGTCTGCTGTGCTGCAGCCTCAGCAGCACTTGTGCATTCCCAGCCCCAAACGAAGCAGCAGGTGCTGTTGCTGCTGCTGCATGCAGCAGCGACGGCAGTCTGCTGCTGCTGAGCTACAAGAGCGGCCTCATAGCCTGGGTTGCTGTTGCTGCGCCGCCGGCCAGCACTCCGCAGCAAACAGATGCGCAGCAGCAGCAGCAGCAGCAGCAGGGTGAAGAACGAGAGCAGCAGCAGCAGCAGCAGCAGCAGCAGCAGAATAAACAGTTCTCGGTAGAGCTGCTGTGTCTTGCCCGATCGCGGGCTGCTGCAACACCTTCTGGAGGGGATGCTTCGAGACAGCAGCAGCAGCAGCAGCAGCAGCAGCAGCGCAGCCACCTCTGTTCTGTGCGATTTCTTGAGGGCAGCAGCAGTGTCTCATCGTTGCTTCGCAGCAGCAGCAGCATCGGCAGCAGCAGTAGCAGCAACGGACGCAGCCTGGGGTCTCGAGGGTGTGTTGCTGCTGCTCTCGCGGTAGATGAGACGGGCACTTTGCTGCTGCTGCTGCTGCACCGCCGGCTGCTAAATTACAGCACAGAAGAGCGCCTGCTGGCTACGGGAATACCCTCCTTGGGTACGCTCTTGCTGCTGCTGCTGCTGCTGCCGTTGTCGCTAGTGCTGCTGCCTCTGCCTTAATGCTGCTGCTGCTGTTGCTACAGCTTCTCTTTACCTTACAGCAGCTGCCGCTGTTGCTGCTGTTGCTGCTGCCTTCGCATATTAGGGCGCCATTGCATCGCCGTCGCGCCAGGTGCTTCTGTTGCTGCTGCGCTGTTACTGCTGCACCATTGCAGCTGTTCGCGTGCTGCTGCTGCTGCTGCTGCTGCTTCACCCGTAGCCTGTGCGCATGCTGCTGCTGCAGGCGCCCTCCTTGACGTTCGGCCCATGCCAGTGCTTCCCGCGTCACCAGTGTGCTGCTTCGCAGCACCTGAGGTGCTCCAGCAGCAGCAGCAGCAGCAGCAGCAGCAGCAGCCGCACATTGCTGCAGTCGCCTGCAGCAGCGCCGTGGTCGTTCTGACTGTCGACAGCAGCGCGAGCCTGGCTTATCACCTCGACGTAGGGCCTGCTGCAGCTGCTTCAGTGTGAACCGCAGCAGCAACAGCAGCAGCAGCAGCAACTACTGTAGCAGCAGGAGAAGCCCGCAGCACGAAGGGACGCAGCCACGTCGCCGCTTGCTGCTGCTTGTGTGCTCCTGTCCTGTGTTTGTCGACTGCAGCTGAGCGAGCAGCAGCAGCAGCAGCAGCAGCAGCGGCTGGTGCAGCAGCAGCAGCAGCTGCAGCCGCAGGTGCTGCAGAACTTCCCCTGCATCTGCTGGATGGCCAGCAGCGACAAAAGCCGCCGCCTTTTCTCTTCTCCTGTACTGGCAGTGAGTGTCTGAGGTGTATTGACACCTCGTGCCTGGGCCGCGTAGCAGCAGCAGCTGCCGCAGCAGCAGCAGCAGCAGGAAAGGCGGCAACAACGGAGGCAACAACAAAGGCAGCAGTAACAGCTACATCAGCAGCAGCAGCAAGGACGGAAGCTGCTATAGCACATAGTGCGGCTGCTTCAGCAGCTGCTTTGAGTGTAAAATCTGCAGCGGCGTCAGCAGCAGCAGCAAAGACAATGGCAGCAAGAGCAGTTCTGCTGCTGCTGCTGCTGCTGCTGCTGCCGCTTCTTGCGCTATTTGGTGCTTTTTTGCTTCCCTCATTTGTGCCAGTTGCTTCCTTTTGATTCTGTCTTCTTTAGCTTAAGGCTTTTGCATAATTTGTCCTGCTTGCTTTGCTGCTGCAGGTTGCTGCAGGCCCTTTGCTGCTGCTGCTGCAGCTCGACGGCAGCAGCGTGACGCGCCTTTCTCCCTCGTTTGGCCTCTGTGCTGCAGCGCAAGTAAGAAGCAGCAACAGCAGTAGCAGCAGCAGCAGCAGTAGCAGCAGTGGCTGTGGCAGCCGGTGCAGCAGCAGCAGCATCAGCAACGACAGCAGCAGCAGCAACAGCAACAACACCAGAAGTAGCAACAGCAGCAAATAGGTGGCTGTCTCAGGCTGCTGTTGCTGCTGCTCCGCAGGCAGTGGAGGCCCTGGGGGACTCTGTCATTTGCGTGCTGCACTCCTCTTCTGTAGTGACTCTTTACCAATTAGTGGAGCAGCAGCAGCAGCAGCAACAGCAGCAGCAACAGCTGCAGCTGGTGCTGTTGCAGCACCTGGATGTGGGACATGTGCGACCGCTCTACTACAGCTTCTCAGACACCTCGATTATCGTGCAGAAGCAGCAGCAGCAGCAGCAACAGCAACAGGCATGCGAAAATTCTTCTGCTGTTGCTGCTGCTGTGGGTTGGTGCTGCTTTGGTGTGCTGCTGCTGCTGCAGCATCTTCACGGGGCGCAGTGAAACCGCTGCATTTGCTTCTGCCTCGGTCTTTCGCCGTTGCGGCGGGCTTCTGCCGCTGCTTCTGCTGCTGTTGCTGCTGCTCTTACTTAACCCGCTGCTGCTGCTGCTGCTGCTGCTGCTGCAGGCATATGGCGCCGCCTCTGGGGGCGCTGGGGCCCTCCCACTAGTGGCCCTCAGCTATGCGGGAGCCCTGGCAGCAACTCAGGTGTCTTTAGCTGCTGCATGCGGGCAAGAGGAGTTCAATTACCTGCGGGAAATGTGTGCACAGCAGCAGCAGCAGCAGCAGCAGCTGCTGCAGCAGCAGGGGCGGTACACACAGCAGCAGCTGCAGCAGCAGCAGCAGCACGCGCTGCATCAGCCCTGCTGCAGCAGCTGCTCCGCATGCCTTTGTGCTGCTGCTGCTGCGGGCTGCATCGGCGCTTTCCAGCTGACAGTAGCGGGACTAGAGGTAAGTCTTGCTGCTGCTGCAGCAGCAGCAGCAACAGCTGCTGCAGCGTGCTGCTGCTGTTGCTGCTGCTGATACTGTCGTTGCTGTCTTGCTGCTGCTGCTTTTTGTCCATCGCTTTTGCTGCTCGTTGGCTTTTGAATGCTTCTGCCGCTGCAGTTGCTGCCGCCGTAGCTGCTACAGTTGCTGCTGCTGCTGCTTGCCTTGAGCTGCTGCTAAGGGTTTCATTTGCTGCGCTTTTCTGCTGCTGCGTCTGTCCCCCTTTACTGCCACTAGAGCCCGAGCTGCTTTTTCATCACGTCGGCCTCTGTGCTGCTGCTGCTGCTTTTGCTGCTGCTGCTGTTGCTGCTGCTGTCCGTTGATCACTGCTGCAGCACTTGAGTTTAGTCAGTCTGTCTTCTTCGTTTCTGTCTACTTTTTTTGCGTTGCTAAGTGCTGCGTGCCGCTGTTGCTGCTGCAACAGCAGCACTGTTGCTGCTGTTGCTGCTCCTGCTATTATTGCTGCTGCTGGTGCTTTATATTTTCATTTGCTGCTCTGCTGCTGCTGCTGTCTGGCTCAGGGCCTCCTAGTTCTGGAGCTTCACTGTCCCTTATTTGTCGTTGCAGCAGCATTTAGAAAAGGTCGAGTGGATTTGCCATTAGCGGTTGCTGCTGCTGCACTCAATGTGAGTTGCTGCTGCTGCTGCTGCTGTTGCTGCTGCTGCCGGTGCGAGGGCCTGTGCTATGGGCCCCTGGCGGGACTTCAGCTGTTGCTCCTGGTGCTGCAGACGACTGATGCTTCTTCTGGTCTGTCGGCCTTAAATGTTTATTTGCTGCTGCTGCTGCTGCTGCTGCAGGGATCAGTCCCTCCCCTCCTCTCTGTTCCCTCAAGTGCAGCCGCTCGCCAGCGCTTCTCGGAGACAGTCTGTCCCCCGCTGCTTGCTGCTGGTGCAACTGCAGCTGACAACAGCAGCAGGATGCAGCTTGAGCAAAACGAGCAGCAGCAACAGCAGCAGCAAGAGCAGCAGCAGCAGCCCCTGGTTGCTGTGGGGCTGGCCGCAGCAAGAGCTTTTTCGTGCTGCTTCGAGATGTGCGACCTGCTGCAGATTCCAGGATTGCTGCCTCCGTTGCTGCTGCAGTGGCTTCTGGAACAACAGCAGCAGCAGCAGCAGCAGCATCAGCTCAGCGCGGGCAGCGGCAAAGAGGCGATGCTGCAGCGGCAGCTGAGAGCAGCTGCAGCAGAAAAATGTGCTGCTGTACTGTTTGCCTTAACGAGTCGCCATTTGCTGCTGCAGCAGCTTCCTGCTGCTAGCGTGCCTAACAGTTTGCTGCTGCGGCTGCTAGCCTACCTGGAAGCCCAGCTTGAGGCAGCAGCAGCAGCAGCATTCCCTCAAGGGCAACAGACGCCAAGGGCACAGACTGCTGCTGCTGCTGCTGCTGCTTTTCTGGGACACGATGCAGTTGACGAGGCCGCGTTAATTGCATGGCTGCAGCAGCCACAAGCAGCAACAGCAGCAGCAGCAGCAGAAGCAGCAACTGCAGCAACAGAAGCACAAGAAAAGGACACCAACTTCTCTGGCTTCTTTCTGCTTAAAACTTCAGTAAGAGAGGCATCGGCGAAAGGGAAAGCGCCTAAGGAATACAGCAGCAGCAGCAGCAGAAGCAGCAGCAGTGATAGCAGCAGCAAAGCTGCAACAGAGGGCATCGCACAGCTGCAGCGCACACGACGCCTGATAGAGTCAGTGCTCATCTATCTAATCCAGCAGCAGCAGCAGCAGCAGCAGCAGCAGCAAGAGCAGCTGGATATACACTCCATGGCCCGTGTCGCCTGCGCACATCGTCTGTGGACAGCAGCAACGACCCTGCTGTATCGAGGTGAGCTAACGGCAGCAGCAGCAGCAGCAGCAGCAGCAGTAGCAGCAACAGCAGCAGCAGCAGCCGTAGCAGCAACTGCGGCAGCAGAACTTGCCATAGTGCCGTGTCAGTGCGCATAGCAACAGAAGCAGCAGTAGCAGCAGCAGCAGCAGCAGTAGGAGCAGCAGCAGTAGCAGCAGCAGCAGCAGCAGCAACTGCATGCTGCTTTTCTCTCCTTAGGTTTTGCTGATGCTATTGCCCCCATAGAGTGGCTGCTGGGCGAGCAACTGCGCATACACCGCGTGCTGCAGCAGCAAATGCGGCAGTTCCTGTGCCCTCCGCTAGAAGCAGCAGCAGCAGCAGCAGCAGCAGAAGGGGAGCCCACTCCCGCAGCAGCAGCAGCTGCTGCTGCTGCTGTTGCTGCTGACGCGCTTAAGGCGCTGCCTGTGTTCGTAGGCGAGGCAGACTGGCAGCTGCTGCTGCTGCAGCAGCTGGTCTTGGGCCATTTGCAGTGCCTGTGGCAGGACAAGGCCTTCCCGCTGCATGAAGCAGCAGCAGCTGCAGCAGCAGCTGCAGAAGCAAAGACCGAGTTCGCAGCGGAGCACATTCACGAGCTGCAGCGCGTTGTAGATTATATTTTTAGGAGGAAAGGAGCAGCAGCAGCGGCAACTTCTGCTGCTGCTGCTGCGCCCCTACTGGTGCCTTTTGGGCAGCACAGAAGCCAGGACCAGCTAGATCAGCAGCAGCAGCAGCAGCAAAAGCAGCAACAGCAGCTCTTCCAACCCCGAGACCCCCCTGCCGTACTGGAGCGGCTGCTGCTGCTATCTAGCAGCAACAGCCTGGCGCTGCTGAGCGACCTGCTGCTGCTGCCGCTACCGCGGGTTGCGCTGCAGCATTACGTTGCTGCTGCGCTGGAGCAGCAGCAGCAGGCTGCAGCAACAATGCTGCAGCAGCAGCAAGACCCACCGATGGACTTATCACCCGCAGCAGCAAACAGCAGCTCTTACGAGGCATGTCTGCTGCAGGTGCTGCTGCCAGGTGTCGCAGACACAATCCTGTCGCTGCAGCAGCAGCACGCAGTCCACCGCGCTGCAGCAGACAAAGTCTCAGCAGCGGCAGCAGCAGCAGCAGCGGCAGCAGCAAGTAGCGCTGATGCCTTTAAAGGCCCTCTGTGGGCCTTAAAGAGTCTGCTGCTGCAGCAGCAGCAACACATGCAGCGGCTGCATGCGGGCCTGTGGCAGCTGCTCGCTGTTGCTGCTGCTCGCACGCAGCAGCAAATAGTAAGCGACGCCTTGCTGCTGCAGCAGCTGTCTCTCTTTCTCATTCGCGGGAGGCCTTGCAGTCTGGTGCTGCTGCGAGCCTGCAGCAGCAGCAGCAGCAGCAGCAGCGGTGGCAGCAGCTCCAGCTGGAGTGTAGAGCTTGAGGAGGACCTTGAGCGGCTGCTGCTGCAGGAGGCAGCAGCAGGCGCTTCTGAAACAGAAGGCAGCAGCAGCACCAGCAGCATGGATTGCTGCTGGACTGATCAGCAGAGAGAGGCCTTACTGATTCGCCTCGTTGAAAATGTTGCAGCAGCAGCAGCAGCAACACCAACAGCAGACAAATACGCGCTGCTGCAGCGCGTGCGCAGCGCTGTGGCTCCCCTGGAGCAGCAGCAGCAGCTGCTGGCAGCAAAAGGCTTCCATGCTGCAGCAGCACGTCTGTTCGAAGTGTCGCGGGCCTACGACGACTTCCTTGGCTGCTGCCTCCTTTCCCATAGTCAGCAGCAGCAGCAGCAGCAGCAGCAACCGCAGCAGCAACAGCAACCGCAGCAGCAGCACCAACCGCAAGAACAGCAGCACCAGCAGCAGCAGCAACAGCAGCAACAGCAGCAGCAGCAGCAGCAGCAGCAGCAGCAGCAACAGCAACAAACGGTGGAGCTTTGCTGCGCGTCTCCAAGCCTGTCGCTGTCTTGGCTCCCCGGGGGCCCAGCAGATGTCTTTGATGAAGTAAAGACTTTGTTGGGCGGCAGCAGCTCTGCTGCTGCTGCTGCTGCTGCTGCTGCTGACGCTGCTGCAGCGGGTGTCTTCCCAGCAGCAGCGGAAGTCCAGCACCACACCAGCAGCAGCAGCAGCAGCAGCAGCAGGCTGTGGGACTACTGGCGGCTGCAGCTGCTGGACCTTTCTGCTTTTGCCAAGGCTGTCTGCCGTTTGCTGCCGCTGCTGCTGTCGAGAGACACAGAACGGACAGGGGCCCTTTTGAGTTTGCTGCTGGAGGCGGGGGCCCAAAACGCGCAGACAGAGCAGCAGCAGCAGCAGCAGCCGCAGCAGCAGCAGCAGGAATACGCGTCTACGCTTCTCAGGCTTCTAGATGGGAGCCTTGCGCTGCAGCTGCAGCTGCTGGACAAGCTGCTGCTGCCGTCGGAGCCAAACAGCAGCAGCAGCAGCAGCAGCAGCAGCTTCTCACGGTACTTCTCCTCGCAGCAAAGCTACACGGAGTTTCTCCATGCTGAACTGCCAAGGCAAGCAGCAGCAGCAACAGCAGCAGCAGTAGCAGCAGCAGCAGCAGCACAACCTATACCAGAGGCAGCACTTACGAAGTTTATAGAGGCAGCAACAGCAGCAGCCCCAAGTGCAGTTTGCTGCTCCTCGGTTATTGCTGCTTTGGTGCTGTTGCTGCCGCTGCTGCTGCTGCTGCTGCAGGTATTTCTCGCTGCTGTGCGGGGCAGATCCGTCTCGTGCTGCAGCAGTGCTGCAGCAGCTGCTGCCAGCAGAGGAGCAGCTGCCCCCAGACCTGCTGGAGTCTTTGCTGCTGGTCTCAACGCAGCACAAAGCAATGGATGTTACTGCTGCACTCCTAGAGCGCAGCGGCGCTGTTGAGGTCTGCTGCTGCTGCTGCTGCTGCTGCTGGTGTGGCGTTGCTGCTGCTGCTGTGGCGTTGCTGCTGCTGCGGTCTGCCCACGGCGGTGGTGCTGCAGGTTTGCTGCTGCTGTTGCCAGTGCGAGGGGCCCACAGGAAAGGTTGCTGCAACAGCTGCTTGCCGCTGAGCAGCAGCAGCAGCAGCTGCTGCTGCTGCTGCAGCAGAAGGGGGCACAGTCCGTGGCTGGCTTTGTCGATTCTTAAGCCGCAGCGTTGCCGATTCGCTCCAAACCACCTTTATCGTTGTGCCTGTCCTGCTGCTGCTGTTGCTGCTGCTGCTGCTGCAGGGGACGCTGCAGCTGCTGGAGTCTTCATTTCGGGAGGCGCTGGAAAGCATTTCGCTGCAGTTTAATTCGAGTGTATATACACTGGGGCCGGTGCTGCGGTGTCTGCGCAGACGGCTGGCCGGCTGCAGCAGCTTTGGGCCTCCTGCAGCACAGTTTGCTGCTGCTGCTGCTGCTGCTGCTGCTGCTGCTGAGGGGGGCACGGCTTACCGCACGCTGTTGCAGCCCGGTGCACTGCAGGCAGCTCCAGCAACAGCGGCGCCTGCTGCTGCTGCTGCTGCGGGAGCAGCAGCAGCAGCAGCAACGGGGGAGAGCTGGTGGGCGGAGTGCAAAGAACTAGCAAATGTCTTCCGTGCTGTAGAAGCAGCAAAACGCGTTTGCTGCAGCAGCAGCCACTTCATCACCCCCCGCAGGCAGCAGCAGCTTTGGCGCAGCATGGCGCTGCTCACTGTGCAGATCTACGAAGCAAACCCAATGACGCAGCACTTGCTGCAGCAGCAGCAGCAGCAGCAGCAGGACAAACGGCAGCAGCAGCAGCAGAACAAGCAGCAGCAGCAGCAGGAAAACAAGCAGCAGCAGCAGCAGCAGGACAAACAGCAGCAGCAGCAGCAGCAGCAGCAACGGGAGAGCAACCAACTGGAGAAGCGGCTGCTTGCCGTCGGCGACTTGGGAGAAGGAGCTGCTGCTGGTGCCGCTGCTGCTGCTGCCGTTGAGGGTCCCGTTGCTGCTGCTGCTGCTGCTGCTCCTGCTGGGAGGCAACAGCAGCCGCTGCGCTGCACGCTGTTTACAGTGCTTCTGGGCGAGGTGCTTGCTGCTGTGCTGCGGTGCTACAGAAGCTGCACAACCAGCAGCAGCAGCAGCAGCAGCAGCAGCCTGACGGGCCTAGAGAAGCAGGCTTGCTACCCCACAGAAGCTGCTGCTGCTGCTGCAGTCATGGGCGAGCTGTGCCAGCAGCTGCCGCAGTCGCACGTTGCTGTTCTAAAGCCTGCTCTCGTATGCTGCTGCTGCTGCTGCTGCTTCTTTGCTGTTGCTGCCTGTTTGCTGCTGCTGTTGTTTTCAGTGTGTTGCTCCTGTGCCGCTGCCTCTAGTGCTGCTTCTGTTGTTGCTGCCTCGTTTTGCTTGCTGCTGCTGCTGCTGCTGCTGCTCTCTGCTGCTTTATTCTATTTGTCTCTCATTATTGTCTCTCAGTTTATCTCCTGTGTCTTTGTTTTTATTTCTCTTTTCATTCTGTGATTGCTTGCTGCTGCCCCTTCACCAGCTGCTGTTGCTGCAGCTGCTGCTGCTGCAGCTGTTGCTGCTGCTGCTGTTTCTACTGTTGCTGCTGCTACTCCTTCCAGTGCTGCTGCTGCTGCTGCTGCTGCTACCGTAGCTGTCTGCTAATGTGGCTCTCCACAAGGTGGGCATCCTACCCATTTGTATGCTGCTGCCGCTGCTGCTGCTGCTGCTGCTGCTGCTGCTGGTTTTTGTGAAGGTCGAGCTTTTGTCAGTGCTGGAGGGGGAACGTTCGCTGCTGTCTACAGTTTGTGCTGCAGCAGCAGCTGACAGCAGTTTGCTGCTGCGGCTGCTGGCAGAGCGGAGGCTGGGGGGTCTTGCTGTGTCTCTTTCTGGCAGCAAAGAAGGCAGGAGGCAGCAGGCTGCGCTTTGCTGCTGCTGCGGGGGCCCTTTGCTGCTGCCGCCCCCCACTGCCGCTGCTGCTGCTGCTGCTGTGCGCAGCAGCAGCAGCAGCGGCGCAGGCGCGCCCGCCAGCAGCAGCAGCACCGCAAGTGGGACCCTCAGCAGCAGCAGCAGCAGCAACAACTGGTCAATTGCTGCCTTTGCATGCAGCCACTTGTACCACACTGCCTGTCTGACTGCAGCACTGCGCTGCCGCCTCTGCGCTTCTCTGTGAGCCTCTTGGGCAGCAGCAGCAGCTGCAGCAGCAGCAGCAGCAGCAGCTTTTAATTGCATGAGTTGCATTATTTGTTTTCCGACTGAACTTTAGCCGCGTCTCTGCGCCTGGGGCAGCAGCGCGAAAACTGCTCTTCAGTTTTTTTATTGCTGCTTTTTTGCAATTTATTTTCCAAAGATATTTGTTTTTTTATTTATTTTAATTTAATTTTATTTTTATTTATTTTCCTCTCTGCTTCCAGATTAATAGCTGCTGCAGCGCTGCAGTGCTGCTGCAGCGCCACATTTCTGCTGCAGTGCTGCTGCAGCGGTGCAGTTCTGCTGCAGCCCTGCTGCAGCGGTGCAATTCTGCTGCAGTGCTGCTGCAGCGCTGTGGCCGCACGACTTCACGCGAAAGCGTAGTAGTCATCACCCTGGGTTTGCTGCATAGCGCTGCAGCAGCAGCTACTGCAGCAGCTGCTGCTGCAGCAGCTGCTGCAGCAACTGCTGCAGCAGCTTTGGTTGGGTGTCGTTGCTGCGTCTCTTTCCCGCTTTTCCCGCTCCTTTGTTCTTTTCTTCCTTCAGCATCTTTCGCTGTATTTTGCGGCTCTCGTGGCCCCTTCAGTGCCGCTTCTTTACTTAGTTTTTGGCTGCTGCTGCTGGTGCTGCAGCGGCTGGCAGGCAGCAGCAGCAGCGAGCGCTGCAGCGCAGCAGGCTTCTCCGGGCCCCAGTGGCAGCTGATATTGACTAAATTAAAAAGTCTAATTAGTTTTTATTTTGCAAACACTGCGGGAAGACAGCAACAGGAGGCAGGCGGCGGGAGCCAGGCAGGAGTCTTCGGGTGTACGCGCAGCGCAGCAGCTCGCGCGGTCCAGCCGCCGCCATTGAGAGTCAGTTTATTTCTTTTTGCGGAAATTCTTTTAATTAAATTAATTATCAATTAAAATAAGGGAGAAAAAAGCCAAAGACGAGCCCGCGGCTGCGCAGGCAGCAGCGGGGGCTGCCGCCAGAGGCGCCGCTCTACACCGCGACAGCTGGGGCTGAGGGGCCCCTTAAGAACGAGCAGAAGAGGAAAGTGAAGAAAAGAAAAAGTAATAAATGAAATGAAAATTAAATTTAATTGCTCGAGCTGTATGTACACTCCAATATTTCCTTTTCGCCGTCGCCAGCAGCAGCAGCTGCAGTGACACCCCAAACTCGGCTGCAGCCGCAGGTGCTGCGCTGCTGCTTTATGCTTCATTTTGCCCTTTTTCTGTGATTTTTTTCTTTTCGTTTTATTTTTAGTTTCTTTTTGCTGCTTTTCACCGAAAGTGAAGCCCCGAAAAGTCTCCCAGACCCCCCAGCAGCAGACAGACGGGCATGCAGCAGCAGCCCGGCGCTGCGCAGACACCGCGGAGCAGCTGCAGCCGCAAGAAGCCGCACGGGTATTTCTTTTAGCTGCAGCGCAGCAGCAACAGCAGCAGCAGCAGCAGCAGCAGCACGGCGGTGGCGGCAGCGCAGCGGCAGCAGCACCTGTTGCGGTGTGGTGACAGCTGGGCGCGAAGAAGCGATGCAGCACGAGCAGCAGCAGCAGCAACGACGGCAGAAATAGCAGCAGCAACAGCAGCAGCAACAGCAGCAGCAGCAGCAAACGGATCCTTTTTTAGTCTCGCAGATGGAGGGCAACAAAGATGAAGCAGCCCGGTGTGTTGAACTTGCGAAGCAAGCCATGCTTGCAGGGGACTTTGCAAAGGTGATCTACTACTGCTGCTGCTGCTGCACTTGCTGCTGCCATTGCTGCTGCTTTTGCTGCCATTGCTAGAATGCTTTGCAGGGTCTGCTGTTGCTGCTGCGCGCTGCTGAGGCTGCCGCAGCCGCTGCTGCTTCTGCAGCTGCTGCTGCTGCTGCAGGTGCTTCTGTCGCCTTCTGCTGCTGCTGCTACATCTGCTGCTGCTGCCGCTGCTGTTGCTGCTGCAGGCGCAGCGGCTGCTGGGCAAGGCGCGCCGCATGTTTCCTTTGGCGGAGATAGAGCCTCTTGCTGCTGCGTGTCTGCACAAGCTGAACCCTTCAGCAGCAGCAGCAGCAGCAGGAACTGCTGCTCCGACAGCAGCGAGCTCGAGAGGGGCCTCGGAGCCCGCTGCTGCAGCCAGCAGCAGCAGCAACAGCAGCAGCAGCAACAGCAGCAGCAAGGGGCAGCGGCGGGGGTCTCGGCAGCATGTGCCTCATTCCTCTGAGGGTCCGCAGCGCAGCACAGCAGCAGCAGCAGCAGCAGGAGCAGCAGGAACAGGCCCCACGCTGCGCCGCGGCCGCAGCGGCGCTGCTGCAGCGCCAGCAGCAGCAGCAGCAGCAGCACATACACCTGAACAAGCCAAACTCTGCGAAATCATTTTAGAAGAAAAATGTTTTTATAAAGTCCTGGGGGTTCCGTCGGATGCATCTGAAGAAGCAATTAAGAAGGCCTACAGAAAGGTAGGGTTTAGGGTTTAGGGTTTAGGGTTTAGGGTTGGGGTTTAGGGCTTAGGGTTGGGGTTTAGGGGTAGGGTTTAGGGTCTCGGGTTGAGGGTTTAGGGTTTAGGGTTTAGCGTCTAGGGTTTGAGGTTGGGGAGGGACGAGGGGAATTGCAAGGGCAGGGTTTAGGGTTTAGGGTTTAGGGTTTAGGGTTTAGGGTTTAGGGTTTTGGCGAGTCCGTGCAGTTGGCGCTGATGCTGCATCCCGACAAGAACAAGGCCCCGAAGGCGGAAGACGCATTCAAGAAGGTGGGGGTTTAGGGTTTAGGGTTTAGGGTTTAGGGTTTAGGGTTTAGGGTTTAGGGTTTAGGCTGCTGCTGCAGCGGGAAGGCCGTTGCTGCGCCCGAAAAAAAAGCAGCCCCCCACCAAAAAGCAAAATAAATAAATAAATAATTAAATTAAATTGATTAATTAAATTAATTAAATTAACTCTCTAATTGAATTAATTAGTTAATTCAAATTAGGGTTTGCTGCAGGTCAGTAGGGTTTCTGCTGCTCTCCTAGACCCGCAGCAAAGAAGGGCTTATGACTTGGGGGGCCCCCAGGCCGTCGACGGGGCCCCCCAGCAGTACCCTCAAAGGGGGGGGGGGGCCCCGGATATCGTCACTGCAGAGGTTTGCTGCTGCTGCTGCTGCTGCTGCTGCTGCTGCTGTTGGTGCTGCTGCTGTTGGTGGTGCTGCTGCTGTTGGTGCCGGTGGAGCTACTGCTGGTGATGGTGGTGACATGCTGGTGATGATGGTGTCAGGGCTGCTGCTGCTGTTGCTGCTGCTGCTGCTGTTGCTGCTGCTGCTGCTGCTGTGTGGCTGCTGGGGTGGACCAGGGTTGCTACAGCGCCGCTGCAGCAGCAGCAGCTGCTGCTGCCGCTGCAGACGTTGCTGCTTTTGCAGCGCCGCTGCAGCTACCTCAGGTCTGCTGCTGCTGGTGCTGCTGCTGCTGCACCTCTGCTGCTGCTGCTGCTGCTGCTGCAGGATTTGTTTCGAGTTTTGTTTGGCCAAAGCGTGAGGGACTTCCAAAGATCTCCCAACGGGCGCGGCCGCAGGGGCCCTCAGTATCCGGAGTGCGTAAACCCTAAACCCTAAACCCTAAACCCTAATTTTTGTCTGGGAAAACCCGACTAAGCCGCAGCAAACCCTCGTACGATTTGAACCGTGATGAACCCTGCCAAACGCTAAACCCTGGAATATGTTTCTAAACCCTAAACCCTACTAAACCCTAAACCCTACTAAACCCTAAATCCTGCAAAACCCTAATCGCTGCTAAATACCAAACGCTGCTGAGTAAACCCTAGACTGCCAGCAGGTTGGACAGCTGTTCATTTTCAAGGGTTTAGGGTTTAGGGTTTAGAGTTCAGGGTTTGGGGTGTGGGTTTGGCGTGCAGGAGCAATCTTCATACATTTATTCAGGTGGGGTTTAGCTGCTATTTGCTGCAGCAGCAGCAGCTGCTGCTGCTGCTGCTTAGAATCAATTTTATTAATTTAATTAAGTAAAATAAATAAATAAATAAATCGATAAATGATTTGCTGAATTTAATTATATAATTGGCCGGAGGGTTTGCAGATTTGCCTCCAGTGACGGCCCTCTGCAGCCATGGCCTAGGGTTTAGGGTTTAGGGTTTAGGGTTTAGGGTTCGCCGCGTGTGTGCTGCTGCCTCTAGAGCTGCTTTTGAGTGTCCAGCCACCCAAAAGCGCCTTTTGTTTCTTTTCTAATTCAAATTTAATTTAATTAATTTAATTAATTTTAATCAATTTAATTAGTTTTATTAATTTACTTTAATTAATTTAATTTCATTTAATTTAATTATTTGTTTGCTGCAGTTCCTGCCGATGCTGCTGCTCTTCTTGCTGATGTTTCTTTTCAACTTTGTGCCCCAAGAAGGATCATCTCCAGTGAGTCAATTGATTGATTTATTTTATTTTTATTCTATTATTGTTTTGTTTATTTTTTTTTTGTTCTATTATTTGTTTATCAATTTGCTGTTCTTTTCGCCAGCGTTTTATGTTTCTAGCTCAGTTTGCTGCTGCCGCTGATGGCTGCTTTTGCTGCTGCTGCTGCCTGCTGCTGCTGGCGCTCTTGCTGCCGCTGCTGCTGCATCTTGCCGCTGCTGCTGCTGCTGCTGCTGCTCATGGCTGGGTGTGCTGCTGCTGCGTGCACTCTTTCCTTCGCTACTGCTGCTGCTAATGGCCGCGCGTGCCGCCTCTGCGTGTGCTATCGCTGCTGCTGCTGCTGCTGCTGCTGCTGCTGCTGCTGCAGCCAGCTTATTACTCTTTTCGCCAAAGCAAAGACTTTCCAGTTCCTCGAACTACTCAACTCCATTCTGTTCGCTATTATGTCGGAGACAGTTTTATTCAGGAGATTTTGCCGCAGCCAGACAAAGTTAGGGAGGTGAGAAAATTATTTAATTTGTCTAATTAAATTAAATTAATTATTTGATTTGATTAATTTAATTGGTGTTTATCTATTATTATTTGCCTTTTAATTGGCGCTTGTTTGGCATTTTCTCGCTATTTGCTTCTCTTGAAATGCCCTTCTGCGGGAGTGAGCAGCAGCAGCAGCTGCTGCTGCTGCTGCTCCTGTTGCTGCTGCTGCTTCCGGCCTTATCTGCTTGCTGCTGACTTCTTGCACTAGCGGCGATTCGTTATGTGTATTTTTATACTGATGTGGTTGACGTTTTTGTTGCTCTGCTTTGTTTCCACATTTATCTCATTTACTTTGCTGCTGCTGCTGCTGCTGCTGTTGCTGCTGCTGCTGCAGCTAGAGAGGAAAGTGGAAGTTCGCCACTACCAGGGTGTATGTACATCTGAGAACGACCGACTCAACAGAGACCTCACCACCGCCCACTACCACATGGCTTCCAGTCAGCTACTGCTGCTGCTGCTGCTGCTGCTGTTTCTGCTGCTGCTGATGTTGCTGCTGCAGATGTTGCTACAGCTGCTGCAGATGGTGCCGCTGCTACTGCAGGTATTGCTGCTGCTGCAGATATTGCGGATGCGGCTGCTGCTGATGCTCCTGTGAACGTTGGTGCTGCAGTTATTGCTGGTGCTGCTGCTGCAGCGGATATTCCTGCTGCTGCTCTTGCTGCTGCTGCATGCAATTCTGCTGCTGTTTCAAAGAATAAATTAATTAAATTAAATAATTAATTTCATTTTTTATTTTATTTATTTTTTACTTTTACTTTCAGACGAATCCATTCGCCGGCTGCTGGACCGCCCGCGCCCGGGCTGTAAGAAGCTGGAGCTGCTGCAGGTTGGCAGCAAATAAATAATAAATGAATAATTTAATTAAAATACATAAATTAAAATAATTAATTGAATTGGTAATAATAGCTGAAGCAATGTGTAGCTAGCTGCAGCAATATGTAGCTAGCTGCAGCAATATGTAGCTAGCTGCTATGTAGCTAGCTGCAGCACTTTGTAGCTAGCTGCAGCAATATGTAGCTAGCTGCAGCACTTTGTAGCTAGCTGCAGCAATATGTAGCTAGCTGTAGCACTTTGTAGCTAGCTGCAGCAATATGCAGCTAGCTGCAGCAATATGTAGCTAGCTGCAGCAATATGTAGCTAGCTGCAGCAATATGTAGCTAGCTCCAGCAATTTAAAAATCTTTTTTTGCGCTTGTGCTGCTGCCTGCAGCGGGCTGGGGCAGCAGGGGCCCCCGACAGCCAAGGGCCCTAAGGGGGGCCCTCAGCTCTTGCTGCAATGGGGGCCCCCCTAATACATTGGGGGGCCCCTCCTGGGGGCCCCCTTTAGTGACTCCCTGTAGGGCCCCCTCCCTAGGGGCCCCTCCTAGGGGCCCCCCTTAGGGGCCCCCTTTGGGGGCCCCCTTAGGGGCCCCCTTTGGGGGCCCCCTTAGGGGGCCTCCCTTAGGCGCCCCCTTTGCGGGGACCCTCTTGGGGCCCGTCGTACTGTTTGGAGGGCCTCGCCCAAAAGGGTCCTGCCTCCTTAGGGGCCCCCTTGAGGGGCCCCCATTGGGGGCCCCTCAAAGGGGCCTCTTCAGGAAACCCCTTTAGAGGCCCTCTTTAAGGGGCCCCCCTTGGGGCCCCCGTTTAGGGGCCCCTCCTTAGGGGCCCCCTTTCAGGGGCCTCTTCTTAGGGACCCCCCTTTAGGGGCCGCCCTTTAGGGGCCCCCTTTAGGGGCCCCTTTTTGAGGCCCCCCTTTAGGGGCCCCCTTTGGAGGGGCCTTCCAAGGGGTCCTGCCTGGGGGCCCTCATGGAGGGCCCCCTACGGCGGCACCTGCACCCTTTAGGGTTTTAAACCCTTTTAGGTTTAGGGTTTAGGGTTTGGGTAGGGGACGTCTGTGGGGCCCCTGCTGCGGTGGCGCTGCTGCTGAGGTGTACGTACAGCTGAACTGTCTGCTGCTGCTGCAGCAAGGCAGCAGCAGCTGTTAAGCTCGAGTGATTTGCATCATTAAATGACTTATTTATTAATTGAAATATCATTTAATGTTTACTTTCATTTGCTTTCCAACTGGCTTGCTGCAGTTGCTGCTGGCAGCAGGAAGTGCTGCTGCTGCTGCTGCAGCAATAAAGTGCAACTGCGAACGGGTCAATAAGCACAAATACAAAAGAATGGACAAATAGTTGAAGACATAAATAAATAAATAAATAAATAAATAAATAAATAAATAAATAAATAAATAAATAAATAAATAAATAAATAAATAAATTTAAATTAATTAAATAAATAAATAAATAAAATTAAATGTAGGGAAGTTTGAATAGACTGAGGTGTATGTGCACATGGGCACAGAGTGGCAGCAAAGACAATTCTGAAGATTTATTTTTTTTCAGTCTATTTATAACATTTATAAAATAAAATAAACAAAAGGTATAAATAAAATAAAGAATATAAATGGAAATAATATAGATAGTGTAAATAATTATACAAATATATTATTTGCTTCCGAAAGAGGCCCCCAGGAGTGCTACGAGGCCCTCTGGAGTCACGGAGCTGCAGCATTTGCTGCTGTTGCTGCTGCTGCTGCTGTGGTTGCTGCTGGTAATGCTGGGCTGCTGCAAGGGCTAGTCTACTCAGGGCTGCTGTAACGAAATGAATATAAATAGATACGGCTTCGGCTTGCTGCAGCAGCTGCTGCTGCAACGAAGTGTCTGCTGCTGCAGCAGGGAGTGTAGTTGCCGCCACTGCAGCACATAGTTGGCGCTGCTGCAAGGAGTCTAGCTGCCGCTGCTGCAGCAAATATAGCCGTTGCAGCCGCAGTAAGTATAGCTGCTGCTGCAGCAGCAAATGTAGCTGCTGCTGCCGCAGTGAATATAGTTGCTGCTGCAGTAGCAGCCGCACAAGCAGTGGCCGCTGAGCCCTGCAGCAGGGCAGCAGCAGCAGCAGGAGGAGCAACAGCACCAGTAGCACCAGCAGCAACCGTGACGGGTGCAGCAGCAGCACCAACAGAGCAGCAGCAGCTGCAGCATCAACAGCAGTAGCAGCAGCACAGCAGCAGCAGCACCAGCGTCAGCAGCAGCAGCAAAAGCCCAACTGCAGTCTTCTCGCTTGCTGCAGCAGTTTTGATTTGTTTCTTCTTCGAAATAAAAATAATTTAAAGAGTGGAGGTTTCCTGTAGATCATACCAGGCGCAGCTGCAGCTGCAGCAGCAGCTGCAGTAGTTGCTGCAGCTGCAGCAGCAGCTGCAGCTGCAGCAACTAATGCACTAGCTGCTACAGCAACTGCGGCAGCAGCAGCAGCAACTAGTGCACTAGCTGCTACAGCAGCTGCAGCAGCAGCAATCGCCAATGCAATAGCTGCTGCAGCAGTAGCAGCATCATTTGCCGCTGCTGCTTCTGGCTGCTGCTGCGTTGCTTCATCTCCGTCAGCGCGGCGTCCGTCAAGCCCTAAGCCCTAAACCCTAAACCCTAATACAGGGTTTAGAGTTTTTGACGGAGAAGACGCCAGGTACAGCTAGCTGGCCCTTCCTAGCCAGCTAGCCACCCAGCTGGCCCACCAGATATCCATCCAGCCAGCTAGCTCGACAACTGGCTAGCCAGCTAGCTAGCTAACTGGCTAGCTAGCTATTCACCCAGCTAGCCAGCTAGCTAGCTAGCTAGCCACCCACGTGGCTAGCTGGCCCCCTAGCAGGCTAGCTGGGAGCCAGCCGCCTCGCCCCACAGCCAGCGCCTAGCCAGCACCTAGCCAGCTAGCCAGCTAGCTAGCTACCTAGCTAGCTAGCCAGCCAGCCAGCTAGCTAGCCAGCCACATGGCTAGCTAGCTGGCTATATCCCCTCTCCGCGACCTAGCTAGCCACCTAGCTGGCCACCTAGCTAGCTCCATGCCCAGCCAGCCACCCACGCCGCTAGCCAGCTAGCTAGCCAGCTAGCTAGCTAGCTAGCTAGCCAGCCAGCCAGCCAGCCAGCCAGCCAGCTAGCCAGCTAGCCAGTTAGCCAGCTCCCTCCCTCCCCCCGCAGCCACCTCGCCAGCGAGCCACCCAGCTAGCCACCCACCCAGCTAGCTAGCTAGCCAGCTAGCTAGCCAGCTAGCTGCCAGCTAGCTCCACCTCGCCAGCTAGCCCGCAGCCAGCCAGCCAGCCAGCCAGCTAGCTAGCTAGCCAGCTAGCTAGCCAGCTAGCTAGCCAGCTAGCTCCACCTCGCCAGCTAGCCCGCAGCCAGCCAGCCAGCCAGCCAGCTAGCTAGCTAGCCAGCTAGCTAGCCAGCTAGCTAGCCAGCTAGCTCCACCTCGCCAGCTAGCCCGCAGCCAGCCAGCCAGCCAGCCAGCTAGCTAGCTAGCCAGCTAGCTAGCCAGCTAGCTAGCCAGCTAGCTCCACCTCGCCAGCTAGCCCGCAGCCAGCCAGCCAGCCAGCCAGCTAGCTAGCTAGCCAGCTAGCTAGCCAGCTAGCTAGCCAGCTAGCTCCACCTCGCCAGCTAGCCCGCAGCTAGCCAGCCAGCCAGCTAGCTAGCTAGCTAGCTGGCCCCGACGTTCTTCTCCGCGAACCTTTGTCCCAGGCGGGCGGAAAAAGCCAGGAACTTGCGGACACAAGCAGCAACGCACTGCTGCTCTTTTGCTTCCAGAGTTTTGCTGCTGAAGCTGCTGACGCACTCGTTGAAGCAGCGCTGCACCAGCCCGTTGTAGGTTTCCATGCTGTCGCGCAGCTGCAGCAGCGCGAGTTCCCGCTGCACTGCAGCACGCTCAGCCCCCGGCAGCTCCTCCAGCCCGGGGATGCTCCCGGCCCCCGCCATCCCGCAGCAGCAGCAGCAGCAGCAGCAGCAGCAGCAGCAGCAGCAGCAGCGGCAGCGGCGGCGGAGGCGCAGGCGCAGGCGCAGGCGGCGGGGAAGGCGGCGCGCGCAGGCGCTCTAGGGGGGAGAGAGAAGACTTGGAAGGGAAAGGCTCTTTTGCTCGAAGTTTAAAGGATAATTTGCTGCTGCTGCTGCTGCTGCTGGAGGAACAGCAGCAGCAGCAGCAGCAGCAGCCCTGCGGGGGCCCCGAGAGCCTCGGCACGGTTGCGAGGGGTCTTCTGGAAACTCCGGGGGCCCTTAAATTCTCCTAAAAGAAAATTAAAGGATTTATTTTTAATTTTAATTTTAATTTTAATTTTAATTTTAATTTTTTATTTTTTATTTCAATTTAAATTCAAATCGATAGCCCTCACCCTCTCCGAGAGCGGGGGGCCCCCTACTAAGCCCCTCTTCCCCAGCTGGCCTTGTGCTGCAGCAGCAGCAGCAGCAGCAGCTGCTGCTGCTGCTCGACTTTGTCTAGGTTTAGATTTTAAATATAAATTGTTTCATTATTTCTTTTTCTGGCTTCTCCTGCTGCACACTTGGCGCTGAGAGCTGCAGCAGCAGCACCACCACCACCAGGCACTCACAGCAGCAGCAGCAGCAGCAGCAGCAGCAACAGCAGCAGCAGCAGCAGCAGCTTGGCTTTCAAAATGGCTGACGAGTCCCCAGCTGCTGCAGCAGCCTCCCAAGACGGAGCTTCTTCAGGAGAAAGTCCTCCGGCTCCCCCAGGGGCCTCCAGTGTGTCTTCAGGGGCCTCCCTGGGGGCCCCTGGAGCATCTCCTCCTGCTGCTGCTGCTGCTGCAGCTGCTGCTGGAGAGTGCCTGACCAGCCCCGACGCGAGTGCGCCCAGCCCTCCAGCAGCCACAGCAGTAGCGCCTCCTGCTGCTGCTGCTGCTGCAGAGGGGGGCCCCACAGGGGGCCCCCTAGGGGGGCCCCCCGAGGGGCCCCCAGGGGCCCCCCCGCTGCAGCAGCAAGTCTTTGTGAGGCACATGCAGGGGCGGCGAGGCACTCAAGAAGACCGGCATGTTATAATAAAGGACTTGAGAGATTTGCTGCCAGCAGAAAGGAAAGGGGAAGTGGACAAGTGGGGCTGCGGCTCGGGTGAGCAGCAGCAGCTAGCAGCAGCAGCAAGCAGCAGCCCCTTATTTGCTGCTGCTGCTTCTCCAGGTGCTGCTGCTGCTTCTTTACTCGCTGCTGCTGCTTCTGTGCTCCCCAATCCAGCTGCCACACCTAGCCCTTCCCTGCTCGCTACTCTCCTATTTGCTGCTGCTGCACCACGTCCCCAGCGCAGCAGCAGCAGCGCAGCAGCTGCAGCAGCAGCAGAAGCAGCAGCATGCTTGTTGTGAGGCAGCGGCGGCGCGCGCTGCGCCGCCTGAGCTGTCTGCGCAGGTGCAGCAGCAGCAGCAACCCGATCGACTCAGTGAATCAATTAATTTAATTAATTGATTAATTAATTTATTTATTTTAATTATTTATTTCTATTTATTTATTTATTTATTTATTTGCTGCTGCAGCTTCCCTCGTGGCTCTCTTCGACGGCCACCGCGGCTGCGCCTGCTCGGACTTCTGCGTTTCCTTTTTGCCCGAGAGGCTGGCGGACCTGCTGACTCGCCAGCTGCCGCAGCAGCTGCAGCGCAGCAGCAGCAGCAGCAGTGACAATGGTAGCGGCAGCAACAGCGGCGGCGGCAGCAGCAAGGAGCCTGCTGACGGGGCCGCGGCTGCTGCGTGGGCTGCGCCCGCAGCAGCAGCAGAAGATGCAGCAGCAGCAGCAGCAGCAGCAGAGGCGGGCCGCGCGGACAAGGCTGCTGCTGCTGCGTCGCCTGCTGCAGCAGCCGACGAGGCAAAAGCCCCCACTGCAGCAGCAGCAGCAGCAGCAGCAGACCTGGCAATGTGCCCCCTTTCTGCTGCTTCCTTCAGCTCAGTGGCGCCCGTTGGCCCCGTGGCCTCAGCGTGTGTGTGCCCGCGGCTGCAGCAGCTGCTGCAGCAGCAGCAGCGGCTGCTGCTGCTGCCGGAAGGGCTGCTGCTGCTGCTGCCCTCGCTGTACCAAAGAGTCCACTCTGCCTTCAAACAAACTGACAGAACTTTTATTAATAAATTCAAATCCAAAGCAGCAGCAGCAGGCTGCACTGCTGTGCTGCTGCTGACTCTGGGGAGGCTTGCTGCAGTGGCGTGGCTGGGCGACTCCCGCGCCGTCGCCGGCGTGCAGCAGCAGCAGCAGCAGCAGCAGCAGCAGCGGCGCTTTGCTGCAGTGCGTCTCACAGAAGACCACAAGCCAAATCGAAAAGAAGAAAAAGAAAGAATTGAGAAAGCTGGAGGACATGTCTTGACTATCAACGGGGTGGCCAGGGTGGCCCCCAAGGACTACGAGGTTTGCTGCTGCTGCTGCTGCTGCTGCTGCTGCTGTTGCTGCTGTGCGTGCTGGTGCTGCTGCTGCTGCTGCTGCTGCTGCTCGCGATACACTGCGACTGTGGCTGCTGCGCGTGCTGCGGCTGCGGCTGCTGATGCTCTTGCTGAATCTGCTGCTGCGGCTTGTGTTGCTGCTCGTGCTGCTGCTGCTGCTTGTGCTGCTGCGGATGCTAATTAGAGTGGTGGTGCTGCTGCTTGTGGCCGGGCTGCTGCTGCTGTCAGTGCTGCTGCTGCTAATGCTGCGATTGCTCTCAATACTGCTGCTGTTAATGCTGCTATTGCTTTTTAGTGCTGCTGCTGCCTCCTCTGTTAGTGCTGCTGCTGCTGCTGCAAAGGTTGCCGCTGTTTGTGCTGCTGCTACTGCCTCCACTACGCAGCTGAATTGCTGCTGCTGCCAGTGAATCCGCTGCTGCTGCTGCTGCTGCCGCCACTGCCCAGCTGAGTTGCTGCTGCTGCTGCTGCTACCAGTGAATCTGCTGCTGCTGCTGCTATCAGTGAATTCGCTGCTGCTGCTGCTGCTGCTGCAGGAGAGAGTTAAGCGGCTGAAGCACGAGCAGTGCACTATGGGCGGCTCATCGCAGCAGCCTTCTACGCTGCTTGCGGGTGGGTTTTGTGTCATTTGATTTAATTAATTAAATTACATTAATTTAATTAATTAAATCGATTAAATTAATTTAATTAATTTAATTAATTTAATTAATTAATTAATTAAATTAATTAGCTGCTGGAAGCACTCAAAGACTCGGCGGTTTGCTGCTGCGTGCTGCTCCCACTTGTCTGCTGCAGCAGCGCAGCAAATGCGTTTGCTGCTGCTTGCTGCAGCCCTCTTAGGAGCTTCTGGCAGCAATTAAATGAATTAAATTAAATATTAAATAATTCAAGTAATCCAACTAATTGTGCCTTTATTAATTGCTAGTAATCAAGCAATTTTTTAAAACAGTCTGTTTTGCTGCTACGCCTGCTTTGCTGCTGCTGCTTTGCTGCTGCGTCTGTTTTGCTGCTGCTGCTTTGCTGCTGCATCTGTTTTACTGCCGCTGCTCTGCTGCCGCTGCTTTGCTGCTGCTGCTCTGCTGCTGCTGCTTTGCTGCTGCAGTGTCTCGGTCTCTGGGCGACAAGGACTTGAAGTCGGAGGGGCTGGTCAGCAGCACCCCGGAGTTGGTGCTGCTGCTGCTGCAGCAGCAGCTGCGCTTCATAGTGTTGGCCTGCGACGGCCTGTGGGATGTCTTGACAGATCAGGTACTTTTCTTTTCAAATAAATGCCAATAAAGCAGCAAATTCAACTCTTTTGTTAATTCGCAGCAGCGCGGTGAAGTACTTAGCAGCAGCAGCAGCAGCAGCAGCAGTAGGAGCAGCAGCAGCAGCAGTAATAGTAGCAGCAGTAGTATAAGCAGTAGCAGCAACAGGAGCAGCAGCAGCAGTTGCAGCAGCAGCAGCAGCGACAGCAGTGGCGGCAGCAGCAGCAGTAGCAATAGCAGCAGCAACATTTCCAGCAGCAGCAACAGCAGCAGCAGCAGCAGAAAGTGGCAGAAGCAGAAATGGTGCAGCAAAACAGCAAATTGAAATAATAGCAAAGCAGCTCGCTGCTGCCGTCGCAGCATTTTATTTTCCCATTTTACTTATCCATTCTTAATTAATTAATTAATTTATTTATTTGTTTGTTTATTTATGTAATTTCCTTCATTTCGTTTTTGATGTTTCTGCAAAATGGCGCCTCGTGAACGAAGTTGAACTTGAATTGAATTTGAACGAAACTGAGTTGAATTGAAGCGAATTTGGGCTTAAAATGAGGCTAAAAGAGAATTAAATTGAATAAAAATGAAAATAAAATGAATAAATTCGAAATTGAACTCCAAATATGGATTTAAATTTGAATTTGAATTCCATTTCAAGGAAGTCGTCGACGCCGTCGGCGCGCAGCTGAACGACCCGGAGGCGGCGGCGAGCGACCTGGTGAAGCGTGCCTTCGAAAGGGGAAGTCAGGTGACTTTTTTCTTCTTTTTTCTCCCTGTTTCTCCGTTTTTTCTCCGTTTTTTCTCTTCTTTTTCCCAATTTTCTTCTCCAGTTCCTCCGCAGTTCATTGCTGCTTCTTTTTCCGCTTTTTTGCGCCAGCTTTTGGCCCTTTTTCGCCTTTTTTCCCCTTTCCACTTCGCCAGCTTTCGCTTCTCAAAGCCCTTGTTTCGCATTTGTTGTTTTTATTTTTTTGTTCGTATTTATTTATATTCATTCATTTATTTATATTTATTCATTTATATTTATTTGTTTGTTTGTTATTAGTTAATTTATTTGTTTATTTGTTTATTTGGTTATTTTGTTGTTTAGTTTTTTGCGTTTAAGAGGCATATTAATTCGTTGATTTATTTTCTGCTTTTCCACACACGCCTGTCCTTGTTGTTTCATTTTATTTCACTTTAGTTTTTTTAATTTTATTTCATCTTATTTCATTTTGTGTTATTTTACGTTTTATTTTGCTTCTTATTTAGTGCTTCCTTCTTACGCAGGACAACCTAACGGCGATTGTTGTTGTTTTCAACTGAGAAACGTATTAGGGTCTAGGGTTTAGGGTTTAGGGTTTAGGATTTCGCAAACCCTCCAGACGGCGGGATTGACCCTTGTGACCCCATAGGGCCTGGCTAGCTGCAAAGACGGCGCTACTAGGCTAGCGAGCTAGCTAGCTAGCCAGCTAGCTAACGAGCTAGCTGGCAGCCGGCTAGCTAGCTAGCAACTGGCTAGCTGGCTAGCTAGATAGCTAGCTAGCTAGCTCATAATGGGCGAACTAGCTACACAGCTAGCTAGCATCTGGCTGGCTAGCTAGCTACTAGTTAGTTAGCTAGCCAGCTAGCTAGCTGAGAACCCCAGCGTGGGCACAGCTAGCCAGGCTTGCGCGCCACTCCCTGGCTAGCTGCATTTGTGAGCCCTAGCCCAGCAGCTGGAATCGGGGCTAGCTGATTAGCTAGCCAGCTAGCTAACTAGCCAACTAGCTAGCCAGCTAGCTAGCTAGCCAGCAGGGAGAGGCTTCCTGTGGCTAGCTGGGTCAGATGCCCTTCGCCTGGCTAGCTAGATTTGCCCACAAGACAGAAGTTTGATTCAAAACAAATGGCATTATCGCATGCAGGGTGGCTGCCGGCACTGCTATTGGCTAGCTAGCTAGCTAGCTAGCTAGCTAGCTAGCCACTAGCTATAGCTGCTAGCTAGCCAGGTAGCTAACTGACTGGCTTGCTAGATAACTAGAAGCTAGCTAGCTAGCTGGCTAGCCGTGTAGGCGGCTGGCTGGCTACCTAATGATATTCACCTACTTAGCTAGCTAGCCCTCTACCCAGCTAGCTACCTACCCAAGTGGGAAGGCAGCAAGCTAGCTAGTTAGCTACCTAACTACCCATCCAGCTAGCTAACAACCTGCCTAGCCAGCCGGCTAGCCAGAGAGACAGCTAGCTAGCTAGCCAGCTAGCTACATACCCAAGCAGCTAGCTACTCATCCAGCCAGCTAGCTAGCCACTAACGAGTGAAGCAGAGCTCTGACGACTTAAGGACGGACCGACGCCCTAAAACGCTGAAGTCCCACGCACGTCATCAGGCAGCTAGCTAGCCAGCTAGCTGGCTAGCTGGCTAGCTAGCTGGCTCGATAGCTGGCCAGCTAGCTGACCGGCTAGCCAACCGGCTAGCTAGCCACCCGGCTAGCCAGCTGGCTCGCCAGTGGGCTGGCTAGCCAGCGAGCTGGATAGCTACAAACGGACGGCCAGCTGCTGGAGAATGGCTGGCTAGCCACCCAGCTAGCCAGCTAGCTAGACGCAGCAGCTACGCAGTTCGCTAGCTAGCCAGAGGGACTCGTCGGCCGCTGCCCCTGAACTGCTGGTTAGTTAGCTAGCTAGCTAGCTAGCTAGCTAGCTAACTACGTACCTCCCCAGCTGGCTAGCCAAGCCAGCTAAGTGGCTAGCTAGCCGCAGCTAGCTGCCTCGCCCCGGCCGCCTCAGCCGTCTGGCTGGTTGTGTTGACTTCCGCCCAGCCTGGGGGCCCCCAAAGGGGGGCCCCCTTGGGCCCCCTTGGGGGCCCCCTGGGGGCCCCTGTGGGGCCCCTAAACCATTTAATGTTTAAAGCATGCAGTATTATACGGTGAAGCAGACGGCCTGCTACACGCTCGTGTCTGCTTTTGCTGCTGCTTTTGCTGCTGCTGCTGCTGTTGCTGCTGCTGGTGCTGCCAGTTCTGCTGTACGTGCAGCTACGTCCACCGAGAGGAAGGTGAGGCGCGCTTTAGCGCGCACAGCAGCAGCAGCAGCAGGAGCGG